TCTTTGTGCCATCGATAAATCCAAAGACGCTGGCACACGGCGAACCTTTTCGATGGATTGCAGCACAGTAGCGATCGACGTTGCGTTGAAGGAGCTTGTAGTTGAAGTACAACAGGTGGTTCCAACGGTCGTATATTTCGTTTAGCACATGCAAAAACACATCGCAGAGCACTGGGCGGGAGCGGCCGAAAGTCCTGGCCATGTCGAACAGACGAGTCGGGAACGCCATGCGTGAAAGCAGGATGCAGATGGCCTCGTCGCGCAGCACTCGATTCCGTGCAGTCGTGATCACCACGGCCGGCAAGCCCAAGAGGAAACCCAACTGTTGAACCCCAGCGACGTCAAAGCGAAACTCGAGGAGGGCATTGGCATCGGACATGGCGTTGAGGTCAAAACGCACGTCCGGGATGAGTGGTCGTTCCACAACTTGCGCTGCAATGACTGCGGAAACGAAGCGCCGTTGTCGCTTGGTTTTGGCGTGGGCAAGCAGGAGGGCGAGGTCCTTCTGTGCGAGTACCATGTTTGAACACTGAGCTGCGGGACGATGCAGGTGTGAATCCGTACAATAACCGGATAAGTGTAGTGACTGGTCTGCAAAACCAAAATTTGACTGGTCAGTACACTGAAGCAAAAAAGCCGATTTTGGCATATTCTAGTGGCGTGGCAGTGAAGGGATGAGTTGCAAAATCTTTCTATTGTATGTAGCGATGATTAATAACGTCAAACGGGGCGTTACGAACTAATAAGGTGTGCTAATGACTGGCTGCTAAGCAATGTGGTTGGTGTTATTATGTGATAAATTATTTTTTATGCATGTCAAATCGAGTCAAAATACATAATGCATATTTTTTTCAATTCTCGAAAATACACTATGCATAAAACCCCTAAATATTTATGTTTTATGCGTTAACTTAGTATTTTATTTCGACCCCTGGTGTCGTGCACAAAACTGCCTCGAAGTTGAAGACATGGCCATGTTGGAGAAGATGGCGTTGAAGTTGCCTGGACTCGAGCGTATGAACTTATACTCAAGACGACTTTGATATTACGTTTCTGGTAAAGTTAAGTGTGAGTGACATGGCATCCACTTTGGATTTTAACACTACTTCTAGTTAATGTGTGGGGCTGTGTATTAATTTGCTGCAGTCAACCTTGCAAGACGCACGATAGCGAGGGGCGAACGAGAGCGACGCGACTGTCAGCAGACGTGATCCAACGAATTCCCGTGTACATTCCGACAACGATGTCTTTTTTGGCTATCTGGAAACCTTCCATGGCCCGTCTTGCCTTGGCAACCTGGAGCGTTCCTGGCATTTGCCAACTGTTGCTCCTTGGGACCTGTGGCCCAAACTACACGTGTACCGCGGGGACGTGCATGTTATACCTGTCGTTGAGGATGTGGCCATGTATTTCGCTGCTCTCCATCTGCATCACCTTCGAATTCCACGGGTGTCCGAAGGGTGACCAAGACTCCCCGTCCACACTAGCGAGCCAATGGTACGGAACTGTATGCTCAGCTTCCAACCCTCCCTCTCCGTCACCCATTTGACGTGGACCCCCAAGAACGAAACACTGAATGCCGCACTGGTTGATTTGACGTGCTGCCTTTGTTTGAACCTCCTTCGTTCGCTCAACTTGGACCAACCACGCCACCGTCGAACCGATTTCTGACGTGATGGCGTTCGTAGCCACATTCAAATTGACCGTATTATTGAGCATGGGCGACATTGGCGTGCATGACGACGCCAACAACTCCAAAGCATATTCAGATCCAATTTTGACTTCACATTTGCCCAAAAAATTACGACAAATAATTCACATATGGCAAATTCCAGAGAGATTGGCGGATAAGCCAATTCAAATTGTTGAGCTGGAATTTTTTGACTGCTCCTTGGGCACATCCGACTTCGTGACGTTATCGAACGGCATTCCAAAGTCGAGCTCCTGAACCTTGGATGCAATCACATTTCATCCAATGCGATCATTGCGCTAGACAAATGTTTGCCTTGGGCCAAAGTCAGAGGGCTCAACTTGACGTCGACAAACTCGGCGAAATAAGCTGGCCAAAGTGATGCCTCAATCGAAGCTGGACGGTCCGCACCTTGGTTTCAACAGCTTGACTGCCATCATGCATGTGGTGGACGCGGTTCGGTCGACGCCTAGACATTGCAACGGAATATCATCACCATGTCGGGGGCAGTCGCACTCGTGCAATTGGTTGGCATGTGGTCGAGTCCGACTGGAGTCGTGCTGAACTTTCCGAGTAAACTCTCTGGACGATGAAGACAAGGCTATGTTGGCAAGCATGGCATTTGCCTGGACTCGTGCGCGTCGATTTGTTCCGAAGGGTTACTTTTAGTAGCGTCATCATCATTAACATTAACGTTAGAGTCATTTCACGTTCTAGGTTTCACAATACGTAATGTCTCACCAAACATAGTTGATAAAATATCTCACCATAGTTGGTCATAAAATAATTATCCCGAGATCAGTCCATTGCGAATCCAATGTGGCGGCGCCTTTGCCCTCGAGCAGGTGGACGGACGAGGCACCACCCCCACTGCATGTGCTCACTCCTAGGTGACTCTACATAGAGCTTGCGTTTGAAGTGACGCTGAACTGTGGTCAGAGCTTCGCTTGGAAGAAGATGCAAGACCAGCAATGGATTGGTGTCATCGGACGGAATGTTGTGGCACTGCGCGATTGCGACGCGACAGATTCTGTGCAGTACATGTGCTTGCACCCGCAAGGAATGGCCGCTGATTCCGTGGATTCTCAAGTGAGAAACTACTTTCGAATGGAGGTAGATACACATGCCATGAACCACGTTTTCGCGCATGAAATGATGGCGGCGTACTACGTAGATCAACCTCACTCAGCTCTACGGTGACGCCAACCAATATTATTAGTCCAGCCGATGGATCTGCAATCTGTGATCAGCATAGCTCTTGATAGACACTTGGAAACTTCCAAATGACAAACATGCTGCAGCCTTCGTAGCCCTTCCTGGCCTGCGCACACTGCGGTCAGTACACATTCTTACATCCTCATCGTAGCCGAGCTTCCATCTTAGACAAGACCCCATCGAGTGCCTTTTTTCGTTCATTTGCTCGTCCAACAACAACATTGCACGAATCCAGCAACTCGTCGACAAGTTGCGTGTGAATTATGGCGACAAACTCGTCACGGTGGACGGAGTCGACTGGTTTGCATTTCCGACCTTGGACCAGTTGATTTTGATCCCAGAGTCGCAGTTGCGGGACTTGGGCTTTGGATATCGTGCGCCGTTCATCGTCAAGTCGGCAGCCATTCTTTCTGTACGAGATCCTAGCCGCCGCATGAAATAATTAGACTGGTACATGGATTCTGTAGGCATGACTATTGGTATATTTGTAGGCCTTGGGGGGGGCTACGTACTTGCAGTCGCTGCGGTTGAATGCCAATGCTGCCGACGTCCAAACGGCATTGACGCAATTCAGTGGCGTGGGGCGCAAAGTCGCCGATTGTGTGGCTTTGTTTTCACTGGACAAACTCGAAGCCATTCCTGTGGACACCCACGTATGGCAAATCGCCTGTCGTGACTTTCATTTCAAAAAGGTGAGTCCTACGGATGTATATTCTGGACAGGTAGATGTGGATGCAGTGATCACTGGTAGGCTGCCACCAAGAGCCTAACCCCGACCATATATGCAGAAGTGGGCAAACTGTACCAGGATCGGTTTAGTCCTTTTGCAGGCTGGGCCCATAGGTACTAGCTATGTTCTACTCAACGATACAGTGAAATGTCGGGCTGAGAATGCACCCTTCGTTTCGACATACAATGTAGCATCCTGTTTGCGGCAGATTTAAACAAGGTCAAAACTTTGCTAAGCCCAAGTCCAGCAAAGAAGTCGAAACGTAAATCGCCCACACCTGTCAAAGTAGAGATAAGCGCGGACAACACTGTCATCCCATCGTCATCCACCGAACAATTGTACCACCCAAACGGACGAAAGAAGCGCATCACCAAGAAGCTGCTGGACATGGACGACCCGTCCTCCTAATATGACCCAACAGCGTTGTTCTGAGCCACTGCTGATGCCACGAGAGAAGATTTCAGTACTAAGTACTATTAATACTGAATGTGATAGTATTGACAGTAACGTTAGAAGTACTACTACAGTATTAAGTATTGACAGTGAAGTTTTGAGTACTAGTACTCAATCATGCGACAGAATTAAGTATTGAGTACTACGTACTCGATGGGAAACTAAGTATCGAGTACTACTGTAGTACTCAATCATGCGACGACATGGTTCCTATGTACGAGATGATCGTGGGATCGTGCTTGTGTCAGCAAATAGTGGGCGCACTCGGTTTGTCCGTTTTCCAGCGCCAAGTCTCGCGCCGTCTTGCCGTCCTATCACGAGTTTTGAATGGCTTATAAACATCATATTTGTTGGTGGTCTTACGTTGTTGACCAGTGTCACATCGGCCTTGTGGCACAATAATTTCACAATTTCCAAATGACCATGCCATGCTGCAATCATAAGCGCCGTGTTGCCATTCTACAGCATGACTTGTGAGCAACCTTAAATAAGGCCAATGCACCCACCACTGTATCTCTGACGTCTACTTGAGCTTCGTTCGCCAGCAACGACTTGACCACTGCCACGTGGCCACCACTCGTTGCTCGCATCAATGGCGTCTCGCCAGCCTGTCAAAGTACTGTTTCAATGACACCGTAGCTAGTCAGAGTACCTTGTCCGCATGGTCCACTTCAGCGTTGTTTTCGAGAAGCAGCCTGACGATCTTTGCGTCCCCAAGCTCCGCCGCTGCAGTCAAGGCAGTGTATCCGCTCTAGCAGGCATTTACGTATCGTCAGCCCACAACACTGCAGGTTATTATGCCCACTCAAGGCCAATGCTATAAGTTTGTTGTGCGACAAACCTTGGTCGCAATGTTGGGGTCCGCGTGTTTCTCCAGCAACAGCTCGACGACTTTGACGTCACCATTGATGGAGGCCCAATACACGGCCGTGAGCGGCTGCATAACAAGGTTGCTCAAGTATTATTCCATGGAATGGTGACATTAACTTGGTTCGTACATCGCCCATGATTTCTCCCATGGTCCAGTTGACGTTGGCGCCTTGCGCCAAGAGCGAGCGCACGGTTTCCACTTGGCCATTGCTGGCCGCGTCCACCAATTTGTATTCCTTGGTGAAGAAGAGCGGGATCTTGGCCTGCCACAGATGCGTCACATGGCGTCGGCAATGCTATTGGGACGTACCAGGGTCGGGTACGCGTAATACAGCATGGCAAATACAATGCCAGTGTACAAATACCACACGCAATTCCAGCCCAAGTCGTCCCAAGACCCGCCGTGAGCCATGCCGTGGCTGTCGCTCATAGGTATCGTGCCTTTGATTTCAAAAATGCACAATTGGTTGCTTGAGCTCATAAAACGCTCGTTTTTAGTGCACTTTAACGTGCGTGTTTATGTGGGCGCTAGTAGTGCTGTAATTGCCTCATGCCATGAACGAAACTGCACTTGCGGGCCGTCTCAAGCGGGTCGAACGATACATTTACCTGCATTTCGATCAAACGATGGTGGAGTATGATCGACGCTATCAACTAGGTCCTAACTGGTATATTGGTTCCAACTAGCTACAATATGTTATGGACGTGGCGACTACTAGTTCGACTTGATACATTTCGGCGCGTTTTTCTCCGTACACCGACAAAAGTTTGTGGTTGACACGCGGCACATGACTGGACTTGCCTTGGTTGATCATTATGTGGTGGTGGCTTCGCAAGGATGAAACGACCGGTGCTGCGTGCTCAACTCAGACTACACGGTGGTCAGGACGATCAAATCATTCCTCGCCTCGTTCCTTCGTTGCAAGAAGGTCATCCCATTAGCTTTCCGATGTCATGGGTCGAGCTTATAATTGTTCCTGTCGCTGTGGTCAGTCATTAATAGAGAGGTTTTGCAATTACATTGAAGTATGTACGGAGTATTTGGCCGTCGTACCAGTAATTTACCATGTCCTACGAGTATAACGTTAACCTTAACGTGAACCACCAAATGCATGCCGAATGGGCGGATGAGCCAGGCCACAAGTACGGCCAGCACTGCCTCGGGATCTCGACCGGCATTTGGCGATGTCCCAGTATTCCAGAGTCTGTTTTACTGTGGTCGCATTTTCGTTCAACGCCAGTTTCGGCAAGTTTCAGTTTGCGAAGCACATATACTGTATTCCCAACTAAAAGCTCTGCATGGCGACGTGCATGGCCACGTTGGTCGTGACCACACATCGCTTCAACATGGGAAATCCGTCCGCCATCGATTGCAGCACCGCGGCTTCGTCCTCCGACACGGCCAGCCCTTCCATCTTGAGTTCATTCAACGCATGCCGGCGACGACCGAGGCATTGCACAAGGGCCACGGCCCCTGCAAAGCGGATGGCGTTCCCCACGACATGCACAACTCGAACCAACGAAGCGTTCACGAGCGCGTTGGCGATGTCAGCAACGTCGCAGTCTAGGAGGCCTGTTCGGAGGAGGTACAGTTCTCGGAGGTGCTTGGAGCGTGCGATCGCCTTCGCCACACATCCCCACCCTTCTCCGTCCATGGTCGTATGTTCGACAGTGACCACTTGCAATGGGGAGTCAGCGATGGCGGACGATAACGAGGCCATGCCTGGCAAGGTCAGTTTCATGTCGTTCACGTGGAGATGAGTGGTGGCGCCTTTGCAAAGCCCTCGGAAGAGCAACGCTGCTTGCGTGTCGGACAGAGGTGTACTCTCGAAGGTCACACGACGAGAAGCAATCGGAATTGGCTGCCATGTGCTCAACTCGGAGTCAAATGTCATGTTCGTCAGCACAAGGGATTCCATGGGTGATCGAAACACGGCGTCGAGAAGTCGATGGATCGTACGGAGATGCGCGCCCTCTTCAAACGAGCAATGGTTTAACTCGAGCAATTGCACGGGCTCTCGCTTGAGCCACATTGTCAGCGCCAACGCTCGCTCGGTCGTGATGACCACTGGAACCTACGGCCGCCGCCATCGTTGTTATTTTGTGCTACTTCAAAGTGAAATGACGTACGGAATATGACCCCAAGGTCAAACGAGTCAATTTGGAGCAGCACACGAAGTCGAATACGTCGTCCACGAACTCTGCATCGAGCTCTTCCACGTTCAACGAGCGCAGGTGCGGCAGCTGAGGCAGCAGCGTTACCATGTGGCCACCACCGCTACCGCCGGATTGACCAAAATCGGCAAACGACAGATGGGACACTCGCATTCGTCTTGCCAACTGAGGGCCCCAATCTTGGATTGGAATGGACAGGTCGACGTCGCTAGGCCATGCTTGCAGCGCCAACGAAATGGCTGGAGTCAGTATTCGCTCCAGCCACTCCAAGTCGAAGACGCCGTCGTGGGCATGCACCACCGACACAAACTTGGCCATTCGATGGAACTTATTTACATTCGCTGCGTCCACCCAACGCAAATGCAGTTCTGGCCACACATCGCTGGCGTCGACAATGCCCTCGTTCACAAGGGTCAAGAAGTGTCGTAGGTCTCCGAGTGAATGGGTCCATTGAAATGCACGCAGGTAGTTAAAGAACGAGTCCCCAGGAAGAAACGTTGCAATGAGCTGGATCAATGGCGGCGGCAGGTTGCGCGGGTGGCTGTTGGGAGGTTTTGCTCGTCGAGCTGCCTTTCCAACCGGACGAACCATGACTTTTGATCGAGTTTGGAGCATAGTACGAAGTATTTGATTTACGAACATGCCATTGGTCCTTTATCCACAGCTGTATCCAATCACAAAGCACCCAATCAGATTCCTGCTACAGGGTACATACTCCATTTGGACACAAGATGGACGATAGCACGAGACGTTCGGCGCGGCAACGCAAGCAAGTCTACCATTACAATGCTCGCGATGATACCCCTATCCCAAAGAAGGTGAAACGGCCAAGGAGACCGACAAAGGCCGTGGAATCCACTCCGGAACTCGTCAAAACAAAGCCATCAGCAAGGCCAAGCGGTAGCCAACGATCCAAGATCCCGCCATCTGACGACGAGTCTGATGATGAGTTTGAGGATGCGCCAGCTTCAATAGACGTACTTGAGCAATCGACTTCAGCAGTCGCGTCTATCGCCCCCGACCCCACGTTTGCCATGGGAAATCGCCACGCCACAGACTACTTTTCGTCACGCAAGATCCGTACTGGCTCGTCCTAGATGCAATCATATCATGCATCATGTTAGGGAAAAAGTCGAAAGACGACAAGAAGGCCGCGACGCTGGCGCAATTGGACGCCGACGACATCCGCCTGGCACTGCAAGACTGGGACGCTAGCTGCATCGACACTGTCATCCCCGACCAGCTGGCCATGTATTCCGGTCGCTTTGCTCAATGGGAGCACCAACTCATCGCAGGCTTCAACCTTTTGTTCACTGGTCTTGGGTCTAAACTGCAGCTGCTCCAGGTATGTAGGGGTCTTATATCCATCGTCTTTTACGCCTAACCATGAAAGTTTACGTCGTAGTCGTTTGCATGTCATTTGAACCACATGCACGTGCTTCAAATCCACGGGTACCTTCCGTCCGTGTCCATTCGATACGTGGTCACGACTTTGTTTGCCAATGTACGGATCCTTCTCTCAACTTGTATCGACATTGGTCTGATGCATCTTTTGTAGCTGTTCAACCAAAAACCTCCCGCAAACCGATCCGTTGAAGAACAAGTTTGTGACACTTTGGTCATCTATCATTGACATGTTGTTGATTTAGTGTATGGAATGTGCTCATTTGCTGCACACGTCCCCCCCGTCCGTGTCGGTTTGCCTTGTCATTCACTCCATCGATGGCATCTCCCTCCGCGGCGCCGGCACCCAGCGCGCACTCAGCATCCTCGCGGCCTGCCGCTTCATTCACGTCGTCGGCAGCATCGATCACTTGAACGCTGCGTCGTTGTGGGAAGAGTCTGACACGAAGCGGTTTGGATGGCTCGAGCACATCGTGCACATGTACGCGCCTTATACGAATGAAACGCTCGTGTCGACGACGTGGGGCAGCAGGGGAAAGACAGGGGCGGCTCCCACCGCCGTCAGCGGTATCAAGTACATCCTCGAGAGTCTCACGCCCACCGACTTGGCGGTTCTACGGGCCCTTGGCACTCAGCAGCTCAAGGACGGCGGCAGCATGGTCGAATACAAACCGTTCGTTGACCAGTGTCGCAAAGCCATGCTCGTGAGTTCCGTGCAAGCCATGCGGAACGCCATCGCATGTTTGACCGAGCACGGCCTCGTCGTGACCAACAAAGCCGACCAGATGCGCGTTCCATATGGAGACCACACGATTCAGCACACGATCCTGGGTCTCAACCCCCCTGCTGAGGACGACGGGGAAGGCGAAGAAGGTGAGAAAGAAGATGGGCATGAAGGCAACGCCATTGCCGAATCGGTGGCAACAGAGTAGTAGTAGTGCCGACGTAGGAGAATAATGACTCGCGTGGAATAGAGTGTACAAACACCCTTTATAAATATTGAAACAAGTACAGAGTGATTTTGCAAAAAATACTAACGTTACTACGGTACTGGTTACGTCAGTTTTATACACGTTGTACATTGTGCTGTCAGCCAAAATGTACGGTTTATGGGCTGATTCACCAAACCCATCGATCGATTTTTAAGTAGCTTACATAATTTTGGTAACGTGACGGATCTGTGATTTGCCGATTTTGAGCTCCATTTAATCCTCCTCCATATCCGCCCAAGTGGATGCGACTGTACGGAGTGGTCTTATCGGATTCTACTGTTCATTTGCGCCAACTGTGCTATATAGACCAGTCAATAGACAGTCCCTCGTGCACCACCCTGCGATCATCATTTCCAAGAGTCGTGTCGTACTAACGTTCCACAATGGGCGTTGGTTAAATCATCATAGCATTATTCGATGATGAGGTATTATTATTTCCTAGTAGGTCTAATATAGGGTTGACGGGGCTATATAAATTGCTAGGGTTAGTCGCCGACGGCTTGGAATTTCAAAGCCACGGGCTTGGCGATGTTGCGCAGCACTTTGGTGGCATTTTCAAACCCGAGGTCCGTAACTTTCATGGATCCAATCTCCACCAACACATCGCCCACCGCCACCCGTCGCAGCCCCGCGCACGTGTTGCGTCCAGTCTTCCTTGTCACCACGGGCACCGGTCCGGATTCGGTCGCGAGCTCCTTTACGGTGAGCCCGAACGGCCCGTCACTCCACTGCACGCAGTACATGTTGGCCTCGTCCAGCGCCATGAGCTTTGTCTCAAAATGGCTCGCCGCGGCCTCCGGTGGTGTAGCGGCACCGGTCGGGGAAACCGCATGGCGAAACCGGAGCACCGCCGGCTTGGGCACGGCCTTGATAAAGTCCATGGCGGCTTCAAAGCCCAAGTCGCCGCACACGTTTTCGTTGATCATGACGAGCTCGTCCCCTGGCACGACTAGCGCCAAGTGCGGGGAGATACCCTTGCCCGTAAGCCGCTTCACGTACGGCGTGGCCTTGTGGGCCGTGACGCCGAGCGTCATGCCGAGGCTGCCTTGCTCCCACAAGAATTCGTACTCGTTCCGTTCGAGCGGAGGCAGCGTCGGTGTGTTGCCTTCCGGAAGGTCGCGGGCGCGGCGGAAGCGCATGCAAATGGGTTTCTTCAGGTCCTTGAGCATCCCCATGAGCGCCGGCATGTTGAAATCCCGCGTCCGGTTGGCGTTGATGTACACAAGGATGTCTCCTTCTGCCACGTACTTGGCGGCGGTCGACACGTGTGTGGACACGCGCTTGACCACTGGCATGTGGACGCTGGCATCTTCGACCAGGACTAGCCCCAGTGCGCCGCCTTCCCACAAAAAGTCGTACTCGTTCTGGCGAATTGGTGGCATCAACTTGTGATTGAACTCGTCGTCGATGTTTTGCGACAAGTCGGAGATCACGGACGGCGCGCTTTGCCGGTCGTCGTCAGAGGGCATGGGAAGCTGCTGCGGCGGCTGTGGGTGGTGGTGCGAAGTTCTCAATGGAAAGGGCTCGCTGTACTCGCTAAAGGCAGACGAGGTCGACGACGACGTGTGCGACTGTGGAACAGTTCCACGGGCCCCGTCACGGGGACGAGGAGGCGGTGGCTGCAGTTGATCTCGTCGATGATGCGAGGGGGGGTCTCCAGATCGCTCGTGTTGTCGTGGAATGCTAGGAGAAGGGGACTGAACAGGCAGAGCGTCTCGACGGGGAGCGGTTGCTCCCAACGACTCGAATTGGGCGCGCTGCTGCTGCAGTCGCATGTGAAGTTCCTGTGTCGAGGGCACATCGTTGGGTTGCGGTTGCCGCGTCATGGGGGGATGTTGAGAAGTGTGCTGCTGGCGCTGTGTGGGAATTCGGGTTGGAGGTTGGCCGTACGGCCCTGGTTGCTGCGAATTCAAGCGACCTTGGTCCTGCATCGTAGGATGTTGCGGCAACCTAGACGAGCGCGGCTTTGTCATTGATGACTGCTGAGGTTGTGGAGGGATTGCTGGCTGCATGTACTGATGTTGTGGAGGTTGCCGGTTGTGAGTAGATGGAGAAGTTCGTCGCATCGGTGAGGTATGGGATGAGACTGCCTGCGACCTGTGCACATTGCTCATGTTCTGGTTTTCATTTCCTGAAGTCATCCTTTGAAGACGCTGCTTCACTTGCTCCATGCGTTGGTTCATATCTTCAGACATGGTGGCAGCGGCGTCGGGATTGGGTTGTGGTGGCAATATGCTACTGCCCTCTACACACCCAGCAAACATGTCGAATTATCCGGATTGGAAGCCCTCACTGAAAGATCATACTGAAATCCAGCCAATTCAATATCTATGATTTCGTATAGTATACAAATATCATGTAATGAGGACTGACATCCGGAAAACAAACGTGACACGTTTGTGTGTTACGTAGGTTTGAAACGCGACATATTCGATAAAGTGCACGTTCGAGTCCAAAACGACTAATTCCCCAAAGTCGCCTGCTTGAAATCCAAAATATCCCACACTGTGCGGGAATTCCTTAGATAAGACGACGGCGCATGAATCCATCCACAAATATATATAAACAAGTCATTGTAACCTCAGTGGGCAAATTCTTCGAGGCACGATGTTATTCCCTGGGGTTAAGTGCATTACCAGCGGTTAGCTATCGCTAACCACTGGAGATGCCTTAACCCCTAGCTGACATGGGTGTGTAGTGCTTTCTGTAGGAGTACTTATTTGTGCAAAGGTTATGCATTTTGATTGGCTGTTTGGGTTGTCTCAAAATTCCCCACAATAGGTATAATTTGAGGGGTTACACCCCTGGTATGAGAGAATTAGTCGACAAAAACTTCAACTTCACAATGAATCCCTGTCGCATCGCCATTATTCCAGTAACGGGATGTTCACAAGTGAAATGTCGTCGCCAAGCCAACAAGCCCGCGAACGAGACCGGCTTCTCGACATCAAGTCGCCTCATGCAGCCGAAAAGGCGGACGAAATGGATGTCCGCGAGAAACACGTGTTGTGGTGTGTTTGTTCCTTCATCTTGGTGCTGGAGACCATCGACTCGCTGGTGTTCTTTGGCATTAGCCAAGCTTTGAAGAACTTTACCGAAGTCAAACCGAAGTCAAGCTGGGCTATCCGAAGGCGACGGCCAACGCGATTCACAGTACGTGGCGATCGTTCGGAGACCTGACCCCCCTCTTGGGCGCCTATCTCGGCGATGAATTGTGGGGGCGATACACTTCCCTCGCTGTCTTCTCTGTGTGGTACGTTGTTGCGATGGCACTCGTGTCCCTCTCTGCCCACCCCTATATCCTCGAGAACCACTTGTCGTTCGCGAATGCCGCCTTTTTTATTGCAATTTTCCTTGGCGTTGGGGTTGCCCGTGGGGTGTACCATCCCAACGCGGTGACACTTGGCGCCGATCAATTCGACGAGTCGGAAACCGACCAAAAAGAGCACTTTTTCAGCTACTTCTACCTCGCTATCAATGTTGGCTCGTCCGTATCGTTTGGGTACTTGACGTACCTGAGTGTGAACGGCATGGGCAACTTGATTCCGCCCTCGTACGGGTACTTTGCGACCTTTACCTTGAGTGGGGTGCTGCTGTTGTTGGCGGTGCTTCTATTTGTTGCGTTTTCGTCCAGGTAACCCCCCTCCCCTGTAACTACAAACGTGCGTCGTGTCTAAGAGTGTTGAACCATAGATACGTGGAGATTCCCCCCCAAGAGGGCGCGTTTGCCACGTTCTTCACGTCCGTGGCGTCGACTATGCACGAGTGCCGTGCCTTGGTGTACATAGCAGTGGGCTTTCTATTTTTTGTGCTGTCCATCCTTTTGAACGCAATTGCATTGTTCGTTGGTGGGGCGACAGAGCTCTCGTACAGCGCAGGGATTTGCGTATGCCTTGGCGTGGGCTGCTGGATCTACAAAGGCATGGACCCATCGTACCTGGACGGCCAATACACGCGCATGCCAGTGGCAGACATGCAGCAGATCTTGCGGGTCTTGCCGTTTTCTTGCTTCTTGGTCCTTTGGCAATGCACGTTTGGCCAGATCGAGGCGAACTTTCAATCCATTGCCCAACAATGCGATTTGCGACTTGGGTCTGGTCGAGATGCCCCCCTCATCCCCGGGGCTATGCTCGGGCTGATTGACACGGTCGGGGTGGCTTTAGTGATCCCGCTGTTGGATTATGTCGTGCTGCCGCAATTGAAAGCTTGGCGACATCGACCAGCGTCCCCGTATGAAAAAGTGTTGGCTGGATTGACCTTGGCCAGTGTGACCATGCTGTGGACGGGAGTGGTCGAAACCCTTCGTCGGAACTCGGGCGAACTGGACTTGAACGGTCCTGTACTGGAAACGGGGGGCCATCAGCCCATGAACAAGTTCTCGTGGGGGTACCTGGTCCCAAATTACTTTCTCGTCAGTGTCTGCGAAGTGCTCGTGAACGTCACGATGTATGACATTTTTTACTCGAACGTCCCGACCCATTGGAAAAGCACAGCCCAAGCGTTGAACGCATTCATGCTGGCCATGGGCGACAACTTGGCATCCATCTTTACGCTTCTCTTCGCTCCGTACATCCCCAACGATCTGAACAAGGGTCATCTCGAGTACATGTACTATTGTTTGGCAGGGGTAGCCGCGCTCAATGCCCTTGGCTTCAAGATCGTCCATGACCAGAATGCACTTTGCAACGCACTCGGAAACTTCCAACGGGGCGTAGCATTGGGGAGGCGTAGCCGGGCTAATGGAATGAGCTTCAGCACGATGTTCTTCGGCCACGGTGACGTTGCAATGTCGAGGTTAAACGGAGAATAGTCCAACATTTTGTACTCCAAGCACTGTACGCATGTGACCGCAACTTTCAGCAGCAGTACTGACATTAATTTAATTTAACTGCCACACTGATGATCAAATGAATCATCCTGTGCTTTGATTGGATAAAACAGAAGTAACTTGACATGTGAATCAAATTGTTTTCCAGTCTTGCTGCGATGGATTATTGACAAGCGCACTGTCGAATCGGTGGTGGCTTCGACGGCTTACGATGGACGAAACAGAAAACCTGTGCCACACGGTCGCAGCACCATTTGCGTGAACCTGCTGTTGAACACTGTGGGCTAGCTAAGGTACTCCGGAGCCAGCCAAGCGTTGGAAAAACTCCATTGAAGACAAGCTCGGATAACGTTATTATAAAATCACGACCTGCACCATTCGCAGCACATGGGCATCGTTTGGCGAGGTTGAGCCTCTCTTTGGAGCTTTTATTGGTGATGACTATGGTGTCGCTACACCGCGCTCATTTTTTCCGTGTTGTGATTGTCGGCGCCTCCGTCGTGCTGGCGTTCACGGCACATGCGTATGTCCTTGCCAATCACACAATCGTGGCCAACGTGGTCTTCATCGTGACGATCTTTGGGACGTTGGGGTGGGCATTGGTGGCTTTCACCCGAACATCGTCACGTTCGGCCTCCGAATGTCGTGGCTGGCGCAGCGTCGACGTGGTTGAGTGGGATTTGTGTGCTGCTGACATGGCCAGTTGGGTCGGTCACAAGTGGGACTTCGGGTATGTTGACAAGCACGTCGAGGACTTGTCGTCGTCCCATCGGAACGATTTCAAGCAAGTTCTTCGCATGCTTCTAGTGGCGTGCTGCCTTGTCCTGTGACAATGCGTATTGGACCAAATGGTGCCAACCTCCAATCCATCGCCCAGCAATGCGACGGGCAATAGGGATCTTCGAGGGATGCGACTGGCGATTGGGATCGTCGAGGGATGCGACACAAGTACCCGGGGCTATGCTCGGCATCTTCGACATCCTTGGGGTCCTTGCTTGTCATCGCCCCCACTTTGACCAACATTGTACGAACTCGATATGGCGTCATCGCAACCGTACAGAACATGTCAATGTAGGTGTATCCAAAAGATTGAGGGCTGACTTAGTGCGTTCTTGGGTTCGTTCTTCGTGTGTCCTACCAATTCCACTTGTTCGGTGCGTTCAACACTGTGTGCAGCAAATGAGAAGTCGTGCTTGCAAGGCAGGGCAGCCCACGCGTAGGTCTATAGCCAGCAACTGGCCGATATTTAACAGTAAGGACATGGTGTGGTTGTGTGCATCTTGCACTAACGTGTAACCAGGAACATCAAGACCGAAGATTGGGCCAAGCCCGTCGCCAACACACGGAACACATTCCACCACACGATCGCAGTCGCCATCTCGTTCGAGTAGTTCTCCCAACATGCACACATCCAGCACGCACGTGTCTGATACTTTGTCACGATCAGCGTCTTGGAGTGGCTGTATCGAGCCAACAAAGTCGTCAAGGTGCTTCTTGACGAGCGCGAGTATGCGGCATTTCAGAGAAGGCGTGTGGGACCCGCATCGTGAATCTCTGCGCAGGACCCAGGACGTCGCCGCAACAAGTAGTGCGTCGTGTCGCAACTTGCCACTTCTGCCAGTAGCCATGTATCCCTACGTTGGCGCGCACACTCTAGCGGAAAAAATGCGTTGAGACGGGCGTGCGTTCGGTTTCAACGTGAAGGCACGTTCCCATGCATATGCATCCTACACTACATACATGCAGCCATCCTGATTTGTCACGTTGGACATCTCATTCGACTAGAACTTGGGCACGATCTACGACCACTTGACGGCCAAGCGAGTATCAAGCAAACACTTTGAGCACATGCATTGTGTCTGTCACTTTCCGCGTGTGTCCGCCGTCGCTTCCGCACACCACATGCTGCATTCGTCAGTTTAGCATCAAGGCCATCAACATCCAAGTCCAATACCTCCAGATCACAACGTATCTCAGCGGTCACGGCATGGTATCCTTGACCTTGCGAATGTGTTCGACTGCTGCGGTTCAAACTCGATTCAATGTGTAGCTGATGGTTGGCTACAACGATGCGCTCTGAAGTTAAGACGTGCACACTGGCGGGTTTATCCTCAACTACATTGCCATCTATCCTTACCACCGGTAGCCCCACGAACTATCATGCGTGTGGCAATACCCCGATCGTCTATGCCCCTTCGAATGGGCCGTCTGTCTACCAAGGCCAAGGGGGTGTTGTGGAATGCCGACGTGAGCAAGTAGCCCCTGCACCTCAAGTGCGCGAACACTACCGAATGCAACACGGATCCAGCGTTCATATATTTCACGACAAAAAACTCGTCCGACTACGGCGACAAAATGATGACGTTTTGCTTCTGGCAACTCGAATTGGCCGTCATGAATACTAGACTGGAATATATGTCAAAGTACATCAATTTTAGCTACATATTATGACTAGTACTAACAGTACTACTTCGAAGTACATTAGTAAATGTTAAGGTCGACGATGGCGGCGGCGGTGCTGCGTGTTCAGAGGCTTGTACTTGTGCGCAAATGGAAAAGGACCATCAAAGCGGTCGGGTGAGTGCTGTGTAAACGTGGAGGCTTGGACGAGCGAGTAGTCGAGGTGCGGGAACTTTTCGCGGTTTGCGAGGTACGACTGCGGAGCCCACTCGACGTCAAAGCTGTTGACGAAGAACCCTTGAAACAGCGCCGACACTTGACTGATGGTATCGTACGGCAAAAAATAAAACCCACACAGGTCCGAGTCATTCTCGTAAACCTCGTCCGGCCTAGGAGTAGTAGTGTGTGTATTAGCTAGTAGTATCGAGGAGTCCAATCCCATGTCCAGTTAGGACATACTCGAACGTGCGGGCGATGGTTTCCTGAAGCATGGGCGGCAAACACACATGCTTCGAGGATTTGTCTGTCGGGTCGTACTCCCAAAAGCACATGACATGCATGCGATCGCCATATGAGGTCCGGTTCTTTGCAAAGTAGACGCGTCCAGGCACGCAGTACGCGTCGTCGACGCAGGTCAAGTGCAACGGCTGGCGGTTGAGGGCGGCATACTGTACCGAGTCGTCCGACAAGCACGCGGCGATGTCCACGACACCATCGTCTTGCGTGGGGACGTACCAGTTGAAGGGACTAGAAGAACAGTAGGATGACTATAACAAATGGACTGGCTTGTACTTGAAACTGTTGGGGCACACGACGCGATCGTCCCATTCAGAAATGTCTTGCATCCAATACGCCATCGAGTGGCTGCCTTGCCACCCGTCTTGCCACGAATTCTTGACCACAAACCCCCCCGTCGCGCCTTCGCGCGTGCGAAACAGGTCGTTGTACGCCACCACGAGCTACATTCCCATGCCATCGTACAGTTTCCAAGTACTTCCTCGTGCGTTCGTTACAGGAATGCATGTACCATAACGTGCCCGCCGTCGACTTGCATGCCAGAATGCGCGAGGAACTCCCCGTCCATGTTCTGGCCGTCCGTGCTGTCTGCGGGGACGCAGCACGTAGCCATGGGCAGTTCAGGCGGACAGAGTTGACACGTCGCGGCGTCGCAGCGAGGGTCGTTCGCGAGCAACTTGCCCACACACGGATACATGTGCTGGATGGACACAAGCGTGGTCGATATCGGCATGGCCAGCCCACTTTGCACCAACTTGCGCTTGATGCTGGCTTGGTCGTAGAACGTGCCCATGTCGTTTACTGTGAACGACAGCGGGTTAGACTTCCGGACGGATGCGATGGCGAGCTCGGGGCAGTCCCAATCGTGGCCCTGCGAGGACGTGTACGGACAGACGTGGACCGGAAATACTGAATCCTTGAGACCCTTGTGAAGGTAGTATAACAGCGGCACCTCCCCACCCTCGGTTGAGTTGCGCCAAACCTACAAAGGATGAGGATGGTGGTGCAGTATTGCATGTCGAGTACGTTGTCGTCGGCGATGCGGCATGCATGCTGCTGCGGCGAGTCGATGGGCCCCGTGCACATCTCCATCACTTCAATGCCGTAAGCCTGCTCCGAGAAGGACACATACTCGTTCGAGTCTAGCCAGCCCTCTGCGACACCGTGCTTGCGGTACGACTGCTCCAATGCTCCGATCGTGCCAAAGTCCCAGCAGGTCCCTCGACCAGCCTGATTCTTGTACGGGGTGACATGGTCCACGGCGAACTTGATTGGCAACAAAGCAGCGACGACACCGCCGCCACGGGTGTGGTACCTAGCACAGAAAAGTCACCGATCATTCAGGACTGCACGACCTACATGACAGTCGCGGCAGGCGTGTCCATGCTGTCGGCGAAGCGGGCTTGAATTGAGTTCGAGCGATGCAGCTGGACTCCCAACACTGCCAGCATCACCATGTTCAACAGCACCAAGACTGGGAACCCATACTTTGGCATCACCCACCACCAGTTCGTGGATTGCCGCCGCTCCACGGAGGCAGATCGCACGACTTCTACACCATTACTACTGTACAAGAGACTGCGCTCTTCCCATTGCAGCATCTCGGCCAAGTGAATCTAGGAATGGTAGCTCCACCATGCAACAGCCATCTGGCCACTTGGGAAGAGCCATGAAGTGCCAGCATACTCGGTTTTTTATCCGGATTTGTACCAGGCACATTTGCCGACGTGACTCGATAAAGCAAATCGCAATCGCAATGACGCCAAACACCCAATCAAATCGCTGTATTGTTGTTGTTTTTTCAGTGATGCTGACTAGTTATCCGGAAAAAGTAGCTTCCAACCCTCCCTATGCCGCCACATGCACCCACTCGACACCATTGCCACCTTTGGTCCTAGGTACGTATGAACATGCACTTCGTCCTCGACGGAACCATGACCATCAAAAAGTAGGTTCATTTGAAAACTCACGGCCGCCATCACATCCACTCCCACGATGGGCCCACCAAAGGTAAGCAGTCCGTCCAATTCGGCGCTCGAAGCGCGATATTGACGCACGATGTTGACGCTGCCTGTCTACGCTCTATAGACCGACAACCTCGCCAAGAATCTCCTCTCTCGTCGAACCGAACGTCAGCGGTTTGATTCGGCTGATTGGGCCATGACGTTGGTATAGTACACCCTCATCATGATGTTGTGCGTTGATGTTGATTGTGAGGTCGTTGGTTGCATGTAGCCCATGAATTCTGCAGTCAAGAAGGAGGTCCTGCATACGTCACCCGGTGCCGACTCGCACCGCGCCGCCGTCCCGCTCAAGGACTACGACGCCGCGTCGTCCACATCTTTTGCCTCGTTGAAAATCTCGCCCCACTTGCCCAAACCCACTACTTGTAGTCCTTCGCCAGTTGTACAACCGTAATATTATATGCGCAGTCATTTGGATTCGTTCGACTTTCAGCTTATAAAGGCCATCTAAAAGGATGCTTTCCTTGATCGAATGATCTTCGTCGTCCTCAACTACGGGTGATGATGTGCATGGGGGTGGAATTCCACGGGCGCCACCACCGGGCATGCGGAAAAGAAAGGCCTATCGAACGAGCTGTGGTTCTGGAGGCGCGTCGACAGCCCCAGCAACTAGTTGAGGTGTGGGAGCTTGTAGCCGTTGGCAGCAAACGACTGCATTGTCCGCTCCGCGTCAAAGCTGTTGACGTAGAACCCCTGGAAATGCGCAATGTACTGGCATATGGTGGCGCACGGCATATATGTACGTGTAGTTAACTGTAAACCCGCCTATCCGGATCATTGGCTCTAATGTCTTGGGCCATGGGGCTACATTCGACCCCATGGCCACAACTTAGCAAAGAAACCACCGTTCGAAATCGCATGTTTACCGCAATGTCCACGTCGAGTGGATCGGCTTGAGGCAAAAATTCTCGCGACGGCGTGTTGATCTAGGGGTTGAACTCCCACACACACACATGACCTCCATGCGTTCGTCGCCCCAGTCTAACTAGCACAGAGAACAACAGTATCGCACTGTTGACAAGTAAATGCGCCCGTGGAAATCGCCGTGTCGCATTGTGGCATAGCAGCAAGCACTGATACCATGGACTGCCGTATGCGACGACCAATGGCGCGTTGCGAGCAATACGATTGCTCCATCAACATCCCGTCGTACGAGCTGTTTTGCACCCAAGTGGCCGTGCATTGGAAAAACACGTAGCAGGCGATGCGGTCGTTCCTGCTTGCCATGGGCGGCAACGTTGCGTCCATTTTCACGCTGTCATTTGGCCGGTTCGTTTCCGACGACATCAACCAAGGTCATCTTGAGTGCATGTATTTGCCATGGGCACCGTCGCCGCCATGAATGCCCTGGGCTTTCTTGTCTCCTTGAATTGAAATTCTGCGGGTTGCAATGGTTGATGCTCGTATAACCCAATGATATGGATGTAGAAGCGCGGTCCATAGCAAACTGCATCGACGTGTCATCACGCGTTGAAACGAAAACGCATTCACAATCGCGACGCCAGTGATGCCAATGTGCACATGTACTCCAAGTGACTGTCGTTCAAGTCGTCTGGGATGAATGCGGCAAACCTGAGCGAGAAAATCGACGCCAAGTTGTCGCCCATCGCCAGCATGTACGAATTCGTGGCTTGCCCCGTGCACTTCAGTGCGACGGCATGTTGCTGTGGAAGATGTCGTACGACGGGATGTTGACGAGGCATTCGGCAAACGCAAACAGCACGTACTAGTAGCTGGGAATCATGTACAACACCCACGACATGTTGTTCATGGGTTTGTGGGTGGTCCAGCACAGCCCCGAGCCCATCGCTCAAGACAATGGGATCGGACTGCCGATGCCACACTTCGACCACAGCCGTCCACGTCATGGCCAAGCCAGCGGTGATGAGACCCGCCACAACTTTTTCGTATGGCGACGCTGCCTGTCGCCGCCACTTAGCGAGTGTTGGAAACACCTATATGTGCGCGTCAGCAATCCATTCGACGACGCATGACAATATCTACTGGTATTGCAGCAAGACACCCCAGGGTGTTGAACACCAAGCATCACCCCGGGAATTTGCGCTGCCTGCATTGCGCCCGTGACCCCAACGCAAATCGCATTACTGCACGAGGATTGGAAGTTCGCGTCTGCCACTGCCAAATCACAAAAGAACTCGCAAACGGTAGCACTCTGAGCACTTCTTTCAAGTCGGCAATCACCGGCACTGACAATTCTGGATGGGCGTCCAGGTAGCATGGATCCCGCGCCATGGCAATCCAACAGCAAACTCCACACACAACACAAATGGCAGCGGCAGCAGACGTCCGCGCTGCCGAGCTTGGATCCAGCACCAATGCCAACACATTCAGGCAAAATGACTGCAAGAACAGGTAGAACCCGCCAACAATCCACGCCAGCTCGGGGCAAAGGGATACGCTGGTGCTCAACGTCGAAAAATATGCGTGAACGACGTTTGTTGTGGTGGTGACTTGGTGTATGTACGTAAATGGTCAATTCATAGGAAATGGTATGTGATGTACTACATTACCGCGACGATGCGGATAAGAACAACAACAAGATGAGGTACGGTGCACAGCGAAAACGTTGCAAAGTGGCCGAAATGACGGCGCCGAAGCCATAATTGACACTCAAATACGTGAGGTACGCGTACGAAAAGTTGTCGAGCCCACATTGAACGACACGTAAAAGTAGCCGTAATATATCTGAGTTTGCCGTTTGTACGTTTGTCGGAGGACAATTGATCGGCGCCAAAGGTCACAGGATTCGGATCATATGCTCGATTGCTCAACCCAATCCCTCCAAACAGCGCCACCAAAAAACAAATGTTCGCCAAAGACACGTGGTGCTCCAGCAGGTACAGGTGAGCCGCCAGCGAAAGCAACGCGCATGACGCGTACCAGACGGAAAAGACGACGATTGTCTTGTACGTACCACAACGTTCATCCCCAACGTACGCCTCATACAGCAGGACGATGTCGTAAAAACTCGTCCAGGTACTGCGGAGGGCGCTGGCCGCGACCTTGGAATACCCTAACCGACCCTCCAAGAAGTTTTTGAAGGCTTGGCTCACACCAACATACGTTGTGTAGTCAACGCAGTTCAACACCAGCACAAACGACGCGACAGTGCACAGAACGTGAGGTCGACGAATGGGTATGTGAGGTGATGAGGCGCTGTCAACGAGAGCATCGGTCTCCTGTGTATTGTTGTCGCTCATGGCCAGCGAGAAGAGTTACAAGATTGTCCATGAAGACAGAACCCAAAAATATCCAAGATCTTTGAAAGGACACACTCAAATCATCGATTAACCCAAACCCTAGTGCAAATATTAGAATTTTATTCAACCCATGTGAACAGATAAATGTTGGAGCGACTTATAAGTGAGTATTGCACCGATCGGAACTGTTGTGTTCTTGGTTTACTGTTAAGGCCAAAAATCCCGACGTGGTGCAATCTGTGGTCCATAACCATAACGAACTGCTAGAACCCCCCCTGTTATTCAATAATTATGGAACGACGTTGTGTTGCTCGTGCGGAAGGAAATGTCTTGATGAGAACCTCAGCTGGATGAAATGTCCTTGCAGCCCCCTCCCTTGTATCATGCAGCTTTCGTTTGAGCGGTTGTTAGCACGTCCACAGATAGATCTTGGCCTGGTCGAGCAACATTTACGTCTACGGTTTGAACGTCCTGACTGGAGGCCTCATAATCTGCACTTTGGCCGGGGCGTCGTTGGCTGTGGTCGAAGGTCAGCAGCAATACTCGAGTCCATTAGTTTGGGCAATAGTTAAGCTATGGAACGTACAAATAGCAGAGCAATTTGCTCCTTGCGCTGGCTTTACATAATCTAGTGAATGCCCCACATACGATGTATCACACATTCAATGAACCAAACTAACCTGCCGTCGATGGCTTTCCACATTGTGTCGAAGGCGTACTTTGTTGGTTGGCTTTAAAACGTTAATACGTTGCGATTTGTCAGTGCACAAGCTGAAGGCCAGGGTTGCAAATAATGTAACGTTCATGGCGGGCTGGCATATACTGGTAAAGTACTCTTAGCTGTGAAGGAGTTGCATCCAATCGCACTTGGTAGCTGGGATACAGGAGCATTTGAGCACTTTGCAGCAAGGCCGTGACGAACCTCAATCCCAGCCGTGAAATTCAACACATTGGTGTCAAAGTGATGCAAGCACCAACATTTGACGCATTTTCCATTTTCCGGCCCTGTACAGTACAATAGACGCTGGCTACGAAGTAAACAAATGGTTGGCCAGATGGCCTCCCACCTGTCGTGTTCATTGAATCAGTTTCCCAGACCGTCACTTCAAGGTCGTACATACCGGTACAGTATATACTGGCGTACTAGTAAAATATTAATAACTAACGGTATTAATAGTTAATGTTGGGTTGAATCGGCAGAAGGATTTAGCCAATCGGATTGCAGGAAACCGGTCAAATTAGTGTGTTACTTTAATTAGTGTGATTCATCACAAAGTCCAAAATTTGGGTAAAAGGACAATACGATCATCATTCTAGACACAACAGTAAAGTGCAGTCCTTGTATTCACTTTGAAGTGCTGGTCATGCCATCCTCGTACGGGCATTTCATACAGTACCTACTGTGGGGGTTCTAAACTGTTGAAACCCAGCATACAGTACACATATCCACATGGCTAGACATGCGATTTGTATATACCAGATGCCACATACCGCATGCATTTACAGCTGCAAAGTAAATTTGACTGCCATGGTGAAGCTCCCAATGCTGTCCTTGTGATTCATGAGGCTGCTTCTGTTCAAACAGAGTGTTGACTGCTGGTATGTAATTTTAATTTAACGCCGGGCACTTAATCTCAAATATCGAATCTGAGGGGATGTACCCGTACAGTACCTCACGTTACTGTTGTAACGTTAGTACTGTAGTGTACTGTAGAGTAAACGGTGATCATGCCGGAGGATTCCCGTTCGTCCCTTGGGCATCGAGAAAGAACATCCGGCCAGCCACATGTTATCCTTGTACGATATGTCTCAGACGCACCACAGATTGAACACGCGCCACGTCAATAGCAAAAAGTCGAGTTTTGTGCTTCGTTGGAGTGGGATTTCTCGCCAAACCCAGTTGAAAACCGTCAAGTTCAACAATCGTGAGTTCGTTGCATTGGAAACTGAACGGGAAGTCGCGGCCCGAGACATAATCCTAGACTAGCGACCGTTCCCCATGGCCTCACATGTGTTTCGAAGTACTAGTATCTGTTGCGGATCTCATCAGATATTTTTACTGGGTTCACTCGAGAACGCCCTGGTGAGTAGGCTCATTCTTCATTTGCTCGCCCCTGGAAACAATGGCAGCATACGATGTCGTTGAGACCCCCTCGGCGGTGGCCTCGCACCTCGACGACACCCCCGCCCCCGAAACTCCTGTGAAGCGCAACCGTTTCAAGGAATTCTACTTTGGCATTCCCGGTATTCTCACTGGCGCTGCCATCGGTATCGCCCTTGGCGTGCTCATTCAAACCACGACACCCAGCGAGGAGGTCGTGTCTTGGATTGGGATTCCGGGCTCCCTCTTCATTCGCGCGATCAAGTGTTTGGTCACCCCGCTGGTGTTCTGCAGCTTGCTTGTAGGCATGGCAGATATGTTGGCTGTGGGCAAGGCATCTCGCATTGGCTGGCGCACGGCTTTGCTGTACATCACGACCACCATCGTTGGAGCATGCCAGGGGCTCTTGTGGGTGATGCTCTTCCGTTCTAGCTTTGGCAACAAGTCCAAGAGCACTGACGCCAAACCCACAGAGTTTGCGTTTGCATGCGAGAAGCCAGGCCACTTCCTCACACATGTCGGTGCCAACGTCTCTTGCGTGTACGACGAAACCTACAACAAGACCAGCAAATTTTCCCCGTCGTCTGTGTTTGTCGCCAGCGACATCCACGACAGTTTTGCCAAGGCCAGCTCTGGTTTTGCTCGCCGCACGCTCACCCAGGCATTGCAAGGGCAACTCAATGCGATGGTGCCGTCCAACATCACGCAAGCGTTCGCGGATGCCACGTTGCTGTCCATCATCATGTTTGCCATCCCGTTTGGCGTGGCTATTTCGCTCTTGCCCCGTGACTTGACGGTGGTAGCCGATTTCTTCCGAGCCATCAATATGGTGTTCATGACGATGATCACATGGGTGATTTCGTGCACCCCCATCGCCATCATTTCCCTCTTGGCGTCATCGATCTCTGAACAATCCGACTTGAAGCTGCTCGTGTCCGACGTCGGTCTGTACGTGCTCTGCGTGCTCCTCAGTCTATTCGTGCACACATACATCTTCTACCCTATCTTGCTTCGGTCGTTTGTCAAGATCAACCCGTACAAGTGGATCATGAAGATGGCCCGCGCCCAAACGTTTGCGTTTGGATGTGCATCGTCCATGGCCACGCTTCCCGTCGTGATGGAATGCATTGACGAGACCCGCGAAGTGTCCCAAACCCTGTCTCGTTTTGTCTTGTCCCTTGGCGCCACCATTGGCATGGACGGAGCTGCCCTTGGCTACCCCATTGCCATTGTGTTCATGGCGGAAGCTGAAGGCATTGGCCACATTATTGGCAGCATTGAGTACTTCTTGATCGTTCTCGTATCGACCATCGGGGCTGTGGGCTCTGGTCCTGTGCCTGCTGCCGGCATCGTGATGACCATGACGATTTGGGCCAGTGTCTTCCCCAGCGTGCCCCTGCCTTCGACCTTCGCGTTCATCGTCGCCACGGACTGGTTCTTGGACCGGTTCCAAACTGCCGTCAACGTCACGTGCGACACGGTCGTGTGCCGCATTGTTGCCGAACAAGTCGGGGAAACCATCAAAGAAGACGACCGCCTTAGCCTGTTGTCTGCTGTCGGCGACTTGGCCAGCCATAACCCCAAGATCAAGAAAGCCCTTGAATCGTCCTACGCTCGCGACTAGGTCGTAGCTTTGGTTGTACTAGTACGTCATGCGTTTGACATCAGTATTTGTCGTGAATAAATGTAATAAGCTTACAACGAAGTATTAATATGTAATCCAAACAGTAGGATGGGTTAGAGCATTCTTCAAAATGCATGTTTTCGCAGCATCATCGGATCAATGAGTGTAGATAGGTAGGTACAAACATTCACGAGCCAACGCTATTCATTGGCTACAAGTATCAGTAAGTTGATTGACTGTGGTTAGCGATAGCAAACCACTGGCAATTCAACTTAACCTGGGAATAGGCTTAATTGTGGTAGGGACGGGGTTTCGGGGGTTGGGCTTTTTGCGAGTCAAATGTTCGTGCACATAAGAATTTGGGAATCAAATCAGGGGGACACACGTGTATCAAAACACAGGGTAATTGACCTAGCGTTACAGCAGCGAGCGACGACAGAGCATCCGCCCACAAAATTGCGCGCACCGCAGCGCAGCGGAGGTCGTTTGTATAATTTTGTGCAGGCGGTGCCTTGGCGAGGGGTGAGCCCCAATCGTGTACTTCACCGAATTGTCCAATCGATTCAGAAACTCTGCACACAAGAATTAGGGAATCACAGGTAGAAAATGGGGAATCATATGAAACTGTAACGTTACAAGAACTGCGTAGTACTATATAAGATAATTTGGTCCTCCACAGACCTCATCTGGGAGCGGCACAGCCTGCGGCCTACCTGCCGCTTTTCCCGACGAGAGGAATTGATTGGACATTCGGTGAAGTGCACGATTGGGGCTCATTCCTCGCCAAGGCACCGTCTGCACAAAATTATACACACGACCTCCGCTGCGCTGTGGTGCGCGCAATTTTGTGAGCGGATGCTCTGTCGTCGCTCTCTACTGTAACGCTAGATCAATTTTCTTGTGTTTTGATACACGTGTGTGTCCCCGTGTGTAGGGTTTAACTGTAAGCGCCTTGGTAATCGCTCGCCAGCCGTAGCGTCGAGATATCCGCCGAGATATTTCGTCCTACCGTGTAACAGTCAGCCATTGAAACACTCTGATAGACAACAAACTTCGTCCTATTCGACGGGGTTTAGGATGGTGCCGCCGTACAGGGGCTCTTCCAGTCGAATGATGTCCACAGTCGTCGATAGCAAATTCACCAGCGGAACCTTGGCCCAGCAGCAAGTAATTTCAATGCTAGCATCCGACGACGGTGTGGGCATATCCAGTTGACTGCCATATGAGCCATGCATAAATCAAATGCACAAAAACACTCTCATCTCGTACCACTTTCGTCTGTTTTCGCTTCATTTCAGACGCCGACTCGCTGACCAAGTCGATAATAAACTCGATAAACAGGTACAAGTCGTCTAGATTTCTACCTGCGATTCCCTAATTCTTGTGTGCACAAACATTTGACTGCGACCTCACAGGCGCCGTCGATTGACCACGCGACCGCGATCGTGGGATCGCGATGGATAGCTGCGGGTCGGCAGTTCGGTGTGCGAGCCGGGCCAACTACAACTTGGCATTGAGATGACTACTTGAAGCAGACCTTACCTCGGATTCGCACCGCATATTTACGCGAGAGGCGATCCACTGCGATGGACCACGCGTCCAAACGCCCATGGTTTTGTCGAAGCACCCCTGCGAAGTTAGACAGCGAGTTCACTAACCGTCCCGCTATCAGCAGCAGCCGCCCATGCCGCCTGCTGCCTTGTTGGACAAGCGTCCACAAGAACGCTTCAATGTACTCCAGCAAAGTCTCGTCATTGCACAACACAGTCCAGCGCTCAAGGCACTCCCGCTCTAACCACACGAGCATGACGCCCTTGAGCTTATCAAACGGGTGAAAACTCACCCTCGCCAGCTGCATGCCTTCCAAGGCCAGCAGCATCCACAAAATACGCAGCTCAAATGACTGGGCGCTCGCAAAAAGTTGCTGGTACCGCTCGACAACGGTAACGTTGGCCGTCCGGTATCCCCAGTCGTTTCATCAAACGCGTTCACCACAGTCAAGCAGCGCGTAATGTCACGCACGTATTCCGATTCCACGCTGGTCCATCCGCTAGGTATGAAGATCTGTGAGCGATCCCAGTGGAACCCCAACTCTTGCTCGAACACTTCGTCACGAGCGAGACCGGCTCGTTCCGGCCCACCACCTTCGCACCACCTTCGCCTTTGAGACGTTTGCCTCTGTCCTCACGACGGCTTCATTGGCGCTCGCCTTCTCTTGCTTTCCCTCACCGCCTGCTGCGACGGGATGTCCCCCATCACCCGCTGGTGTCCCCACCACACCTCCGCTGGCCGCCTTTGTTGATGCTTCTGCAGCCTCCTTGGCTGCTTCATCTGACGCCTTTTCTTCGGCCTCCGCGATAGCCTTGGCCTCTTCGGCGCGCTTTGCCGTCGCCACTTCGGCCACTTTTGCGTTCTTGGCAGCCGTGCCAAGTGCTGCCCCAGTAGCTTCTGCACACCTTCAGCGCCCACCGTGTGCATGCCGCTTTTCACCAAATCCGCAGTCCCTTGCTGCTCCTACTGCCCAAGCCGTTCCCGCTTCACGGCACCTTGGCTTCCAATTCGTATTCGGCCTTGCGCCGAGCCACTTCGGCCGCATCCTAGGTCGGTGACGTTCGTTCTTCGTCGTCTCGGCTGTGGCGCCGGCGCTTCGGTCTCTTCCACGCTTTCGTCGGCATCGTCGGCATCCTCGGCGATTTCGCTCGCCTTGCGCTTCTTGCTTCGTCTGCCATCCTTCAATCTCAACTGTCACGTCACAGTTCCTTATCATTTGTGACCACGTGATGATGGTACGTTCTGTATTAAGTAGGGGAGGATGTAACCGTGCCCGTCACCCGGTTATTATCCGGATGACTAGTCGACACCTCGTCAGTCCAAGGTATCCTCTCGAAGATACCAAGATGTCCTCTCGCGCTGTCCTCTCGCGAGACCAAGGTGTTCTCCCGACGATACATCAATGGTTGGTTGCGTGTAGCTTAGTGATAGCGTAGTAGTCTTAACGCTATCAATGCATTCTTGATTCTACCATCTCTTGCGCCTTCCTCAGCGCACGCTCACAGACCGCAAATGACCAACGCCACAAGATTCATCACCGCAAGTCATAAGTTAATGACTGTGGCATAGATACCGTGCCAGGGCCACGCCACAACTTTACCTGGACCTACGCTATCACTGAACATGGACATAGATAGTCCCTCCGTTATGTAGGAAAACATATGGGTCATAATTCCCCTAATATGGGGTATTGTTTTGTCAAATATAATTTCCCTAGGGGGGTAATGATGTTTGATTGGCTCCCGTATGTAGGGCATTCCTCACCAACATCATGGCCATACATTTTGACCATACAAATTTATCGTGCTTTTCTACCAGCCATTTTGTTCAACTCGACATGCTTCCACCAACTATGCCACGTTCTTCTTCAGCCTACTGGAAGAGACTGGTCGATTTGAGTGTCGAGTCTGCACCAAGCATGTCGCGCAACAATAAGGCAAAGGGTTCACCAACTTGATGAGCCACCTCATCACACGCTATCCGGACTACCCCACGTTGCACTCCGACGCCCGCGATTCCAGTCGCAACATTCGTCTAGGACAACACGACAAAGGCCCTGTTCGGATGGGTGGACCTTGTTGTAACAAGCACCTTCCCCTCTCCACGGTCGAAGACGAAACATTTCGAAAGTACGTCGGCCTCCAAGCAACCACAGCGTCAACGCTATCCCTCGACGATGAACAACGTTTGTTTTGCTGTGGAAGCACAAATCCAGCAGCAACTTCCTGAACGCTTTGGCATTGTACTCGACGACTGGTCTGCCCGTGGAACCTCGTATTGCTGCATCATGGCGTCGTTCTGCGTTGATGGTGTTGTGAAAACACCCATGCTGGCATTTGTAGCTATGTTGGACGAAGGCGACCACTCGGCCGTTCAACACGTTGTCTTTGTCGAAGCAACTCTACTCTAAGACGTTGGATGCGATCACGTTCGTCATTGGCGAAAATTGCTCCGTGAACCAGCGCATGGCGGGTCTTCTCAACGTTCCCCTCGTTGGCTGTGTGAGCCATCGCTTCAACCTCGCCGTTCAAAGTATGATGTAGGACCACAAGGGTCTCTTGGACCGTATCCACTGTGTCATGCTGCGAGCGTACATGGACCGATGTCTCTATCCGGCCACTCAGTGAATACGAAAGGGCAATATTTTGACCAAATATAGAACTACGCAGGTGTTTTCCTCTGTAAATCAATTCCATATGACGAAGGATGATTGGATAAAATACCCTGTGAAATACAGCAAGTGACGAAGTATCATTGGATGCGATATGGCGCGGAATCAAATTTTAGAGCGCGCTATGTGTATACGAAAGGCATGAATTTCAACGCACACACATCCAAATAAGAGGTTTCACAGCTTTTTCTTCGGCATCGACTGACCCACGAGCCTACCACCACCGCAACTTGGAACATGCCTCGAGGTGAACAGTTCACCGAAGAAGAACGTGGCATGATGTTGGCGCTTCGCAGCCATGACATGAGCTACCCTGCCACCTCTCGTGAGCTTGGACGAAGCCAAAGTGCTGTCTACAACTTCCTCAAGGACCCAACGTCGTACGGGAAGCGATACAAGCCCATGAAGTGCGACAAGGTAGTGGGAGCCGAGGCTCGTCAACTCTTTCGCTACGCTTCGACGACGGGTTTGTCGGCCCGAGCATGCAAAACGGACCTCCAACTCGACGCGTCCCTGCGCACAATCCAACGACGTCTCAACGAGAACGAAAGGTTTGAGTACGCCAAGCGATTGCACACGCCGTGCTTGACGCAAGCCCACAAGTCGTACCGTATGGAGTACGCCGAACGACACCTTGCTGCCAACACGGATTGGGATCCAATCATTTGGTCCGACGAGAAAAAGTTCAACTTGATGGTCCCGATGGCTTGCAGAAGTACTGGCATGACAAGAGGCTCCCCAAACAGCACTATTGACGCGCGCTATGGGCGGGAAGAGCGTCATGGTATGGGGGGCGTTTTCGCTGGCCGGCCGGAGCGAGTTGGCGTTTTTGTCGGGCAAGCAAAATGCATTGGCGTACCTCAACACACTCCAAAACTACCTGTTTCCGTTTGCCCACGAGCACTATGGTCCATGCAAGATGGCGCTTCGATCCACCGTGCAAAAGTCCTCATGGACTTTTTGAGTGAAGAAAATGTCACCGTTTTTCGACCATCCTGTCTACTCCCCCGATCTCAATCCGATCGAAAACTTGTGGGGGAGAATGGCCCAAGTGGTGTATGCCAACGGCAGACAATTTCGTGATGTTGGGTCACTCGTTGCCGCCATCCAGTCGACATGGGACGACATCCCACAGCCACTGCTGACATCGTTGGTGAAATCGATGCCAAAGCGCTGTGTTGACGTTCTGAAGGCAAAGGGTTGTAATACTAAGTATTAGGAACACTTTATGGTATGCTTTTGCATGAGTAACTTTGCTAAATTCAGATTTTTGTAACCCTTTCGTATACACTTGGCGCGCTAAAAAACGTGCAAAATTTGATATCATAACGAAATATTCACCCAGATCACACACTGCATCGATATAGCTTGTTTATTATGATTACAAGGCATGCAGCAGGGGTATCCTGACTTGAATCAAATTAAAACCATCGGTACTATTCTAAACCCACCCTTTCGTATTCACTTGGCGCGGACTGATATAACCGGATATTGACTCCAGCAAATCCAGCCCAAGTCCATCAAATTGATGGAGCTTTTACTGAAATATTTGCTGATCAACAAAATACTGAACGGATACTATTAATAGTGCGGTACGAAGATATTGGTACACAGATTTACTGATTGACCAATTTTACTGGGCGCGTGGAAATGCTCTAACAAGTATTAATAATGTGAATTTCCTTCAAATTTCCCAATTCAGCCTGTTTACTGAACCTCGCTGCAACCTCGCCGCGACTTTTGATTGGCAACCAATTAAATAGCATATTTTAGCCAATCAGCAACAAGAACTTTCAGATAAACCAATCAAATGTCGCGGCGAGGTTGAGTGCGAGATATGTAGTGCGGGATCGATTGGACGGAGCCCAGAAATTCGTACCGAATCTACAATACTACTACCAGGGCGGGTGTATCGCCCTTTCCTCTCGTCATATCGCGCGGGCTACTGTAGCCGTTTTGCTGGTACTGCCGTTGACACCAGAGAGTTGATGACATGATGGGCTCTTGTGGTGGCCACATCGACTTGTTTGAAGACTCGGTGGGGCAGATGGGTCTGCGTTGGGGAGGTTCAGCCGAGTGCCACATCAACTGATACACACCAAGGTACGAACATCTAGTAACCAATAGGGCATGATCTAAAACAACTTTGAACACTCGTTAGCCAACTGCCCCAGAACGCTTGGTGTTCGTGTTTGCGCCGACCCCATGGTCAACCTGACAATCGAACCACTGGGTCGATGCTGAATATGCTAAGGTTCGTATATATGCATCTATAACTACCGCTGTGCATCAATGACTAACCATATCCTCACGAACGTTAGTCAGCAGCAGCGTCGACCATGTCGTTCGTGTTTGCGCCGACCCCGTGGTCAACCTGACAATCGAACCACTGGGGTCGGTACTAGATATGCTAAGGTTCGTATGTCTTTGTATCAACAACTGTATATCCTTGACTAATTATTCTTTATTCTCTTGACTAGTCAGCAGCAGCGTAGACCATGCCGATCGTGTTTGCGCCGTCCCCGTGGTCACTGGTTTTACGCAGGTCCGTTTGAGCTTGCATGTATAGATAGATACTACTGTATATATATCCTTGACTCACTACTATATTGGTAGTGCTCAGGCTCTTATTTGCTTCCTGTGTTCTGTGGTGGTCCAGCCATTGATTATCACTATTCAAACATGTTATTGGTAGTGTTGCTGTATATGTGAACGTGTGCGTTGTTCGTTGTAATGTTGTTGTACTATAGCTTCAACGCTAGAGACCGAGTGCCCCGCTCGCGTTGCTCGCGTTGTTGGCGTGTCCAGCCCTGTGACACTATCAACAACTGTGTCCTGTGTCCTGGTGGGGCAACGTGGGGTTGCCGTCGGGGTGGTCCGGCCATGGACTGTAGCTATCCATGTCAACGATGTCAACGGTAAGTTGATGTATGTATGTGAGTGTTAATGTTGCTGAAATATAGGAACAAGGCTGCCAACCGAGTGCCCACCTGCTACAGCCGCTGCCCACTGGATTTGGCCGCTCGTGGACAGCGTGTCCCATCCCCGTCAACTGCAGTGTCCCGCGTATCATTGATCAATTGACTCGCAGTAATTCCGTAGCATACAATATATATTGGCAAGTTATTCTTTACACTCATCGCTAGCACAAGCCACCACCACAACGACCACAGCCACGCCCGAGCCATCCTCGACGTCTGTCGCTCCCGCCACCACGTCCAAGCTAACCATCACACTGACCCCTGACACGACTGCACCAGCCTCCGCCATGTGTAGCGCCATGATGGGATGTTGGTAAGTACTATTATTTTCTTGCAGTGTACGTTCTGGTCGCGGTGCAGGGTGAACGATCAGACCTAATTGGACGTCGAGCTCCCCTTTCTTATGAAGTGTGCGTAGCTGCCGACGCACCGCGCTCCACAAGAAACGCAAGTACCTTTGCTGCGAGAAATGTGACCATCATCAGAACGGTGTCACGGTAGGTGGCTTCTCTCTCGTCCACGTCAAGATTGTCGGCAAACAAAAGCGTGTAGGTAACGCAGCGCCGCATCGTGGATTTCCACTGCTTGTCGAGTTCGGTGGAGTGCGCGTGGTTTGCAAACCAGTCGTACCAACACTCACAGAGACAGGAGTTCTTGCGCTTGCGGCGCTTTGCTGGCTTTTCTTCCTCATACTCTCGGCAGCAGTGACTTGGTAGGTCAAGACTCACTGGAGACGTTTTCAAGCCAACCTGTCGCTCGAAGTCTCGAAGACGTTCGGACATTGTTTTTGTGTGGTTGATTAACTGGTCGATCACATCTGCCTGGTGCTCGATCATTCGGAGGTACTTTGAGCTTGGAACATCCTGCTCTGAGGTGTTGATTGTTTGAACTTGTGCCAAGTGGATAGACCAAGACGCCATCTCTGCAAGATCAACACCGGACGCTGCCATGGCTTGGTCAACTCGCTTCACAAGGGGCGAATCTGGCTTCATTGATTGGAAGAGGGGCAATGCCTTGATTAGGTAAGCGCACAGGATATCCATAACCGGAGGACTGTCGTTGAGCAGAGTGTTGGATAGTCCCGTGCAGGCGCTGAACAAGTGGGGGTTGAAGAAGTCGATCTTCCCTCGCCGTGTGGCGTCGAAGTTAGACAAGAGTGGGGTCATTTTTGCGTCCGCATCGTGGCCTCCAAGTAACTTCGCAAATTTTTGATCGTCTTCTGTTGTGTTGACGATGTACGTGAACAGCTTGTTCGTAGCGGACATGTTCCAGTTCCCGCGGTCCGCTATCCAGTGCGGCGAAATCCCAGCCTTCCCATTGATGTACTGAGCTCCACCACGCCGGAACGAGTGCGACGTCATGTTGGTCGTAACATTGGCTCCAGGTAACATACGGCTGAGGACACGGTTGACATAGGCATGGATACCTGGCGGTGATGCTGAAGGTTTCCCTCGTGCCATGTGGATTCAACGCCGTCACCTTGCTTGTCTTCCGCCGCGGTTTCGTCAAACAGACTCCGTCCCGCGGTGTCGCCCGCCAATACAGTTGACAGAGTTACGAGTGGGCCATTGATGGCAAAGTCACACGCTGTAGGTTGCGGAAGATGCGACGGCAATGCCGAACTGGGAGCACGCTGAAGTACCAAGGAGGCTGCTAAAACAATGATTGGACACGTTACAGTGCTGTCGTCGGGGTAAAGCGTCAGACCTTGCTCTTCTAATGTTTTCATTCGTAGAAATCGCACGAAAAATATGTTTTCCCCACACAGCGAAATACTCTGACTTTCGAGCGTCGCCTAGTCGGATGCGCGTTCAAACAAGTACCACAGTAGCGACAGGAGCGCGGCATCTCAATAGTCCGACGCGACACTGGTGATGCGGTAGAGATAGCTCATAAGGGAATGCAAGTCTTGTTTCTTGCATGCCGGCGCTTGTTTTGCAATTCGTCCTCCAGGCCACATGCCGCTGTACTTCTCAAGTGTGCGTCCCTTTGCAAGCAAGGTGCTGTCCCCTAGTTGAGTGTATGTGGGGAAGCGTGAGAAAAGCCATAGCTTTGTCTGGCGGAAAGACTGGCCGGCTGGGTTCGTGCACTCGGCTTTCCATCTTTGCCCGTTAACCCGGTCAAGTGAATGCCAAAGCGGCCCATCAGCACAATCAGTGTCACACCTGTTGTTGTGTCACTGCGTATCGCTTTGTCTACCGAATCAATAGACACGTCTTCTTCCGTGAGGAATCTCATGAAAGAATTCACGCTGTTGTCGCGTGCCTTTTTCGAGTTGGCAGGACGAAGGTCGTCGAGGCTCATCGCCTCGATGCGAGCAGTTGTTCGCTAATAGAATTACTGGACTTCACTCATTGGAATCTGAGAAAATATGTAGATGAAAATGACTGAACTTGATATATTTATATTTCCAAGGCCGTTCCGACCAAATATGCTGGAACGCCCCATTAGAAATTTGATTACACTTTGATTATATAAAAATATCTCTTATTTAACTCTGATTGGCTTCAAGATGAAATGGATGCCTCTGATTGGATGTTAAGCGCAATAGTTTATTCAAGTGAGGTCGGAATATTAACTATATCTATCGATAAGGGACAGTTGGATCCGTCACCACCAAATGACCATGAAGCTGGCAATGACATCATCGCGATGCGCATTTTACCCTCCACACAACAGCAGTACAGCACAATCCTGCGAGGTTTGCTCGGTGGCTCCTGCAAAACGCCCCGGAGTTCGTGGACAAAGGCAGGGTCGTTCTGCCCTTGACTAAGTGAGTTTGTCAGACCTTCATGGCATACATTTCTGTCAAGCGCGACTCCAAAGGAGTTGAGATGATTCCTCGCAAGCACAACTCGTACTCAACTATCAGCGGGTTCTAAAATGCGGTGAAGCACTGGTACAAAGTGGAGGGACGCACTCCTGACGACGATGTGCTCACCATGATTTATGGTACGTGTATCATATTGAATCGGGTACTAACATTATTAGTAGACTTTGGGAATGAATACAAGCGCCAAATTGCTTTGTTGAAGCAAGCAGGTGACCATCCTATCGCAGAAGGAAAAACTCCACTAACTATCGAAGGTGATTTTGTAGTTTACTAGAACTGTACTAATCTGGCGCACAATAGTTGTCACGTCCAACTTCTAATTCGCGTTATTTTTCTAAAAATACAAGTTAGCGCGTGCGAATTGGTGCATTAAAAAGCGCAAGATCTCAGCTTTGATTGGCTTATTTCTGCGTTTCTAGATCGTTTCTGCTGAAACGTTATGGCGGGATAAAGGAGGCAGGTCAGTCGGACCCAGGAGCATAGGACCCGCTGCGCATTCAATTTTCAACTTGAGATCAACCGAACACTGCATACGTTGTTCTACACACCCGCATATAACACTACAACCTTCGGCTTTGTCGTTTGTCGCGACCGAGAGCCACGCTGTCCCAGACCGAGGCAAGAGGCACCTATCCCCAGAGCAGCGACGTGCGACTTACGAATTGCTCCTTGAGGCGTGGTCACATGGATACCTGCCACGTTGAGCCATCCTCGACACGGCCAAGAAGTTCAACTGAAATCCGCGGACGTAAAATCGTCCGAGTTGCGTCAAAAAATCGAGGTATGAACTGTCAAAATTTATATTCTATTCATTTCATCAGGTATATAATCCTAAAAATATTTGATTTTAGGCAATTCTGGACGTAAGAAGCGTTCGTGCGAAGAAATTCAAGCTGCGATTCGACAAGTTCCCCAAGAGTCGCGCCAGATTATGCGAAAGTTGTCGTTAAAGTCAGGCATCCCTCGACGAAGGATTGGTCGGTACATGAAGGAAACTGCCAGTTGAAGGCAAGGTCAAATTACATCAAGCCATTTCTGATCCCTGACAACGTCCAAGCTCGACTACGGTATGCACTGCCTTTTCTTAGACCTAAATTGCCTGTAAATGGAAATCATGTTTTTGACAATATGTACAATTATGTGCTATTGACGAAAAATGGTTCTATTTGGCCAAGGTCAATAGAAAGTTTTATGTATATGACGATGAGGAACTCGCAGCACGGTCGTGCAAGTGTAAACGCTATATAACGAAAGTTAAATTTCTGGCGGCCGTGGCCGCCCGCGTTATGACTTTCACACCAAACACATGTTTGATCGAAAGATTGGCGTATAGCCTTCTGTGGAAGCACTGCCTGCCAAATGGGGTAGCAAATACCGACCCAAAGGAACCTTTGTTATCACGCCACAAACCATCGACTCCCAGTTTATTCGGACATGGTGATGAATAAAGTCATCCCAGCGATAAAGGCTAAATATCCCCTTGGTGCTCAACTGTCCCCCGTTTTGATACAACAAGACAACGCTGACCCGCACAATTGTTTGACGACCTACCTGTTAAGCTCGTACGGAATTTCAGACATTGGCGTTGCAAATCAGTCGCCGAATAGTCCAGATCTTAACGTGCTAGACTTAGGATTTTTTAATTCTATTCAAAGTCTGCAGTATCGCAATGCATTCGGTCAATCGAGGAGCTTATTGATGCTGTAAAAGCATCGTTTTTTTAATTGCCCACTGAAACACTGGCGAAGACTTTTATCACCCTTCAAAAGATGATGGAGAAATCCATTGAAATCAATGGCAGCAACGAATACAAACTACCACACATGAAGAAAGATGCCGCGATTGCGTACCTGGCGTTCTTCAACGTCGAGTGTGATGCAGCGAACTACGAGGGCCCCTTGATACACTTGAACAATCGCCTGGTTGCCGCCCATATTAAAATATGGAGTTCAATACAAATATCAAGATTAACGATCCCAAGTTCAATATTTTAGTCAAGTGATTTGTAGGTGATAACTATTGTGCGCCAGAGTAGTAATTGATTTCATCATGTATGTATGTATGTATGTATGTATATAGTTACATAATGCAATTAATTGTAGCGTAGTGTTCCAGTTTCAAGCGGAGTCGGCGATGAAAATGAGCCACGACCACGACCTCAACATTTTGGTTCACTGCTTCTTCGTGTTCTGTTGGAACCTGATGAGTCGTTCATTATCGACTTTATCTATAATGTTAAATCGCATTGTCTGGGAAGGTACTTTTTCCATCTCTTCACCAATTAATTACAGCTATAGGCGATTGCATGGTAATTCGATTTGGTCGATTGAAGAACAACAAGGAGGGAATGAACTGTACTCCCCGCCATGTATATGCTAATCCCCTGCAACCATACGTATGCCCGGTATTGAGGTATTAAATATTCACAATTAGTTACTACACTTTTATGATAAATAAGCATTACTGTACTAGTATAGTTTGGCAATTATGATTTTTCCACGACGTGTGCGTGGACACACTGGGCCGGCGCTGCTGTTTGGGCCAAACGCCAAGCACCGATTTGCAAAATGGCTCAGTACAACGTGCACGGCGTCACAAGACACCGTTTTGGCGATGGGACTCAATGTGTCGACGATTGGAACGCATTCCTTGCGAAAGGGGGTCGCAACCGCATTAACGAACACTCCCGGGGGGGGGGGCAAGCAGTGTCAGTATGACTTCGAGGGGTTGGAGTTTGGGACCAGTGCAAGGTAGATACATCTTCTCCGGTTCTGGCTGCGATCAGGTTGTTAGTCGTGCCTCAGCAGGTTCGAAAATTTCGATGAATAATAACACGTTAATATTAATATGTAGGATTGAATATAAACCACCCAGGGTTTGCAACCCTCCCCCCGCAATTCCATGTCCCAGCTCTGACTTTGGAGCAATAGAATTCCATCGTACCCGGATATAACAGCCAATATTTCCCAACATTCTACACTACGATGGCGTACCTGTTGGCGTCCTTGGTTCATCACTGTGTCGCGTAAAACGTAACAAATCAAGGGTATGTACTCGGGGAACGATGCGGTCTCTGTACGGATCTCGATGGGGTGGTTGAGACACGTGCAGGAACAACGGCAAACACTTGGGATGTTTAGAGCAAACAACACAACACTACATATTGTTGTGTTGTTAACCTTCTACAGTCGAAATCTTGGGGTTCACTTTACAGTCAGTCAATACTAGTACAGCTTCAGGTACGGATACTTACGTAACCGGACGCACGTCATCCATTACCAACGTTGAGTGGCCAATTCTCTCACATTCTTCTGGATTTCACGTCAAAACTCCTGATTTGACTACAGACCCTTCGTCTTGACTTTCAGGGGCCATTCGCCAAACCGACCAGCAGTGGCGACCCACCGACGCAATCAAGGCGCTGGCTCAAACGATAATGGCCGCACCGGGCCAGCTCACGGTCGAGGCGAGTCGACTTACTCAGGCCACGATCCCGACGATCGAAGACACGAGCAAGACCGATTGGGAGCAGCGCTACGACGACGTACACGAGGACTTAAAGCGGGCCAGACAAGAGAACGAGACACTTGGCCAGCTCGTGCGTGCCCACGAGCGAGTGTGCGCCGAGAACCAAAAGGCCTTCGACCGCATGCGCAAACGCATGTGCAGTCTAGCCTTCGAACGCAAGGTGTTTGGACACGAACGCATCGCGAAATACGCATACGTTCCGTTCGTCAGTTTTGGAACTGGACGAATACGCAATTCACATTCGTGAATCCTGAAAACGTAGTGCTTCTGGTCAACGCTTTCGAGGCCGGATGCGACGAGTCGCCCTCCATCGGTGAGGCCGTGCAATGGGTCCGTCAGTCCAGCAGAGTGTATGTTATGACTACAGCGCCTCCGACATGAATCACTACGTCTGTGTTGGACGTACAACGCTTTCGGCGCTACCGCCCAAACCATCACTACCGGTCATCGAGTACGCCGCCATGCCAACGAAGGATGGTACGGCCATGACAACGAAAGACGGAGCCGTCGTGGAAGGCCAAGACATACCTTCTGTGACGACGAGCATCGCTCCAACCAAAGGCAAATCTGTTTGTTCGTTGAAGATGGTTGTCGATGAGGAGAGCCGGCCAACCAAGAAACTCAAACCAGCCACGACCCCGACCATACGTGTACGGACGGATGACTCATTTCCCCAGAGTTTTCTCGACATTTACGACCAAGCGCACAAAACAATGGCGTGGACGCGATACCTCCGGGCCGGATCCATATGCGACGGTCCCAACACACCGCACGTAACGCGTTTCAATGATGCTATCCGTAAGTTTTGGCGTCTGTACGGGATAAAACTGTGGGAGGGAACGTATATGCCGTATCCAACGAACCAATTGGACAACTTGATCCGCCGGGTCATGTAGTTGTACGCCAAGCTGCACTTGTTGATAGACAATACGGACTACGTCAAGAGCCTCGTCCCTCATCTTGCCTGGCCGATCCTCGCGTTGAAGCCGCCAACGCCACGCGCCATTCTCGCAGGGGACCCCAAGCGGAATCACATCGTCGCCGACTATTGGCTCAAACAATCAGTATGTTTCTGGCCCGACGTTCCGTCCGTGCCACATCCAAGCGAACCCGGCAGCGTCGTGTATACGCACGACCTAAGGCCGACAGTGGCCTATCAACGCACACCGCCCATCCAGCAGTCCAGTGTAAGCTCAAGAGTTGGACCTCGACGCCTCCTCCATGCTAGCGAGTTTGGCCGCCACGACGAAAACGTTTGTCGACAAGAACTGCCCGTGGCCTACGGAACCATATCCGTTCGTCTCCGTACAGTTCGCCGACGACAAGCTGGGCCATTCTTGGACCAATGGAGTGGTGTTGCACCGGCAACTACCTACGTATTCGTGGGACGGGAAAACAGCCAAGATGGCGTTCTGGAACCAATCTCCCTTTCGTGCTGCCAAGGCCGCCAAAATTATCACTCTCGACTCGGGCGATGACGACGAAAACAACGCGGATGATCCCGACTACAGCGAAAACGACGTCCTGTCCGACCATTTGGACACGGAAATCGACGCCGAACTTCAAGACACGGACGAATGAGCGGTCCACGTCGAAAGGACTTCTTCTCACCACTTTTTGGCTCCATCCATTTTTTTAAAAGACATGAGTACACAATACTCGCAGCATTGTTGTTCGGAAACCGATCCATACGCGCGTCCCACTAAAACTCGAACACTTCAGACGGTTCAGTGGCAACTTCCGAGGGCTACGCCGTAGGGACGGTAAACCTTTTTCAGCTCGCACCGAATTCTCGTACTCCGTAATAAACGAGACGTACTTGGTCAATCTCGAAAGTAGCGTCCAATAACAAAGACCACCTGTGTGTTCCACTGGGTACTCAAACTCGCCGTTCGGACGTTTCCGATTGTCCGAGATATTCGAAATCGGGGATTCCACGTTCATGTACACTAAGCCTCAGTCAGGGAACTGGGCCCGTCCGACAAAGCTGCTTTCCGGCAGCAATTCAGAGGCGAGCCACGCGTCGTTCGGATCGCCCTCGTCGAACGCTGGGCTCCAGTCGTCATCCGATGGCGTGCGGCGCAGCAACCATTCTGGTATGTCGTCATCATACGGACGAGACCAATACCCCTGGAATTTCTTCAACCGGTCCACTTTGATCGGCACCACCCGGTCCAGATGAGATGGAAGGTAGATACGGAACGTATTATCACCTTGACGAGAATGGATACGGTACGGACCATGCCAATGGTAAGCGAGCTTCTTGATTCGTTAGTCGTTCTCATCCATTGACTTGCGAAAGTACTGATACAACCATACAGAATGCGCAGGTTGAAAATCAGCTTGCTTGTGTTCGTCCGTCGCTGTAGCCGAACGGTTCTGACCTTGTATCAATTGGGATTCCACCAGCCGTCGTGTTTCCTGGAACCATGCAAACAGCTTCCGTCGCCACTGAGGAAGGTCATTCGACTTCCATGGTGGGTCCTGATTCGCAAAAACACGATGTCCAACGGCTGAACCAGGTCGTGTCCAAACAAACAGAAAAACGGAGAGTCGCCGAGCGTCGACTGGTAGGCCGTACGATACGCGAACAACAGGCGAGGTAATTACACGTCCCAATCAATCAATCCGTTTGTACCGAGCTCACAAACATCTTCAGCATCGTAGCCAAGGTATGGTTGAAACGTTCAACCAGCCCTTGACCCTGCGGATGTCCTGGGGCGCTCGCCATCTTCTCAATTCCCAACGTTTGGTATAATGAGTGGGCCAACTGGGACACAAAGTTGGTACCGTACCTCGATCCCAAAGTGGCTGATCGGGTACCCCGTATCTGCACAAGACCTCGTCTACGAACACACGGACGAACGTCGACGACTTTAAATCCGGAACTGCAAATGCCTCCGGTCAGCGTGTGAAGTAGTCGACGAATATCAGGACAATCTTGTTCCCATTCCGTCGGAGGGAACGGACCCAACGCGTCAACAACCACCATGCTGAACGGACTTCAATCTGTACACCGGCATGCGCTGGAGCTTTCCGTTTCTCCACGGTCTGGATTATCACAACGAACGCACAGCCGACAATACTCCGCCATATCTTCGTGCCACCCTTTCCAGTAGCCCACTAACCTGACTCTCTCCGTAGTCCGTATCACGCCAAAATGACCCGACAAGGCTGAATCACGACACAATTCCAACACGGCTCGAATCAGAGAAATGGGAATCACGGGCACCAAAGTCGTCACGGCATTGCGCAGAGGTGATGTAATAATCGTCCGTCAGTACATGATGTTTCTATTCACCACTATGAGATCCTTCAGACGGACGATGAACCAAATCGCGTCTCGATCCAACGGAACGTCTCCCTCCAACAGGTACGCCTTTATAGCCCGTATGAACGTTTCCTTGGCTTGTTCTTCCGTGAGAAGTGTTGCGTTGCCAAGATGGACATACCCGTAGTCCTAGCACCCACTCGACGCGCCTGGCTGGAGCCATTCGGGTGGCCAGGCCTGGTCTGCGGTGCGAGCAGGAAGGGTTAGGGTCAGGAAAGGCCAGGTCTAGTCTCCGATGATTGGTGGAACCAAAAGGGGATTTAGACTTAGAGTTAGTATTGGGTTAGTTTAGTCAGTGAGCAGTTCAGTTCTAGTTTTGCCTCCAACTGTTCAATACACCACCAAGCTTTGCCTGGGAATCCACTGCTCCCCCAACATTGTGTTTGTGTTGAGAAGTTGCACGGAGGCGCAGTTGCGACAAAGAAATCTTTAGTGCACCAAGACTAGCACTCATCAAGGATGTCCCAGAGAGGACAGGACCGACCGCGTCAGGGCCGCAGCGACGACGCCCATAGAGGCACGAGCAACGGACCGCGCGAACGACCGCTGGAGCGAATCGACGGGGGTGCACACCCAGTCCCCAGCTGCCCTAAGTTGAAGGGCATCCGCCAGAAACAAGTGCGCCAGTGGCTGCTCGACCGAGAAACATATGAAGAAGACCTGCGGGCCGTATGCATGCGTCGAAACCTCGAAGTACGGAACTGCTGTGAAGGATGGAAGGAGTGTTTCGAAGACAAGAGACTGTTGAAACAGTTCATGATCAAGCGCAAGCTACGAGGTGATCCCAAGGAACTCGACGAAACCGTGCTCGAAACAGAGCTACGAAAGATCTTCGACGAACCCAAGGACGGCGTTGAAGCGGACATCCCGCTGCTGTTCCACGGGATACACTTGGACATGAAGGATAACGACGTCTTCAGCCGCGTGTGTAAATTCTTGGCGGACTGCGACGAACGAATCGAGGCATGCGTGATGAAAGGACATCTGAAAAAGCCCGAGATGCGGAAGAAGATCTTCAAACGGCTGCTAGAAGTGGTGGACCCAGAGCCTGTCCGAGATGCGTGCGTACTCGACATGGAGAAGGCGTGGCATCCGGTGGAATTCACGTGGGAATCCATCAGCGAATTGGTAATGCACCATGCGCAGGAGCAGCAGCCGTTTTTACTCGACATATCGCGCGGGACGTAAAAAGCCGGGCTATGAAGCCAAAGAAGCGAAGAACAAGAAAAAAGCCGCGAGGCGAAGCCAACGGAGCCTGAGAAAAAGAAGCTCCGACGAATGCTAGAAAGCCCTGCCGGCGAAAGCGTGGCCACCATCAACGGAGTGTTGGACGTGCCCTACTGCCCTGACAACGGAAGCGATGTGGGAATTATTTCCACCGCCACGGTAAAGACACTGCGCAAGCTGGACGAAACAGTCCAAGCGAAGCAGCTGCCCAAAGCGTGGGTTGGAAGCGCAGTGGGGAACCTACCCGTAGTAGCGAAAACGACGGTGGAACTGCGAGTCACTCTGAGCACAGCCGCCGGCTAAGTCAAGCTGCCTGGAAAGCAGTTATTTTACGTGGTCGACGACAACGACGAACTCATTATTAGCAAGTACGCCCTGATGTCAATTGGACTCGACATGGATCGACTTCTCGAGCAAGTGGCCGTGCACCAAACCCACGAAGACGGCGACGACATCGGCGACCCCGGCGAAGCCAAAAACATCGCATTTGTCGCGGGGTTTTACGACAAATCTATTGGGTAGGTGCGGCGTAGGCAAGCGTGTAAAACACCAAACGCGTAGTTCAGGGCAAAATGTAAAGTCGAGTTAGTTGGTTTAGCTTCAAAGAAAAGAGTATGACTAATGGATAATCCAGGTCCAGGACGTCCGGAGTCTGGTCCGGGAGCCCTATAATATAGCTCAGAGCCTTGTCCGTGGTCGTCCTGGGTTCAGACCCCAGGGACTAACAAGTTCAGCGAGCCTCCCGGAGCGCGGAGCGCAGGAAGCCAAAACACCACGGCTGGTCGCGGAACGTCCGAATATTCCCCGCGACATTTTCCCCCGTCGCACCCGCCGCCCCGACGAGCCAGATCGAGTAGTGCCGTTCTTCGATATCCACATGTCGACAGTCGGGAAGTTCGGCCATATCGCCCCGAGAGATAGCGTCAATCTGGGGCGCAGTGGATACCGGGGCGATATCGGAGTCCGGACAGAGGTCTTCCAGATTCGAGTACTCAGTCCCTGAGGGATGTTACATTAGGTAATTAATATCCGTAATGCTCTAAAACAATCCACTCCATCACAACAGCTTATGTCCCAACTAAGTACGCTCGAAAAGACTGCAACAGTCTAAGTACGCTCTACCCTGGGTGCTCCCGTTGGTTATAGCACTCACAGTCCCGGCCCCCGAACCCGCCATCACCGGGTCCGGACTATCTAGCACCAGGTTCGTTGAGTCTCTAGAAGGGGCTCCTGGCTCCTCAGCGTCACTCGTCTCTTCCGGGAAGGTAGTCAATGGGCCCCGGACCCGAAGCAGGGTCCGGGACAGGACGAAGGCAGCACCCCGAGGTGCCAGAGAATTTTTCCGTCAGGCGACGCATTAGCATCGCGGGTGTTCGGTTCAGTTTGTCGACACGAACTTTCTCCTTTTGAGGATTCTGCATACATGCCCTCCTCTTCCTTGACTTCGCTCCCGCCCGTTTGTTGACGCGAGTTATCCCCGGCGCTGGGTCCTGTGTATATACCCGTGGTCCCGGAGGTCTCTCCATTTGTCTTGATGCTCTTCTCTTCATTGCAGGTTCTGTGTATATCCCCTTCTCTTCCTTGTCTTCGCTCCCGTCCGTTTGTCGACGCGAGTCATCCCCAGCGCTGGGTCCTGTGTATATACCCGTGGTCCCGGAGATCTGTCCAATTGTCTTGCCTCTTCCAGGCGCCTCGTCGCACCCTCTTCCTAAGTCAGTTTGTTGCTGTAAGGTCACTTTCGCTCCCGGAGCTCCAATCGTTCCGCCTTCTTCTGTGCTCACGGTGCTGTCATCCGGGAGCGGTACGGGGCGCGGTTGCGCACCCGGCCCGTGCCTTTTGTCGGAGGGAGGTAACATCCTGGTTTCTGTCTGTAACCTGTCTACAAGGCGCTCCTGTATCCCACCCTCTTGTTGCATGTCCTTGTACTCAGAGCCCGGGACTCCCTTCGTTTGCGGGGGTCGGCTCACCATGCCATTCTTCGTATCGTCGCCCAGCCCGGGAGCAGTCCAGGGTTCGATTGTCGCCGAGTCCCGTACCACCCCGGGGGAGGTATCTTCCATCTTGTATGAGTCCTGGGATCCTTCCTCAACCTCCGGAGAGGGCAAGGATATCCCAGGGCTACTTGTACTTTGTTCGTTATCATCTTCGGAGGTCATTTGCATTCTGGCGGTTAGTACCACGCCACATCCGGCGGCTTGGTTCAGACCACCGAGTCCTCATTGTTTATCGGAGTCGGGGCTGCCTTCCGTGGATATCTTGTTGTCCGACATATACCAGGATTGCAGAGCAGCCACGACGTGGGCCGGCATAGAGCTCTGCTTGGACGCGTTTACCGGACAACCCCAGCTCAAATGGCCCATCTTCCCACAGGTGTAACAGGTTGCATTTCCTCCTCGTCCTCCGGGTCCTGATCGTCCTCCGGGTCCCGTTCGGGTTTGTCCCGGACCCCGACCTCCGTTGTCCCGGGACAGGCTGCACTCCGATAGTCCGTGACCTTTGGAGCGGCACCGAGTACAGAACCACGACAACCGAGGACACTGTTCACGAGAGTGGCCCCGCATGATACACCTCCCGCAAATGACCTCACCCGACTTAGTTTCGTCGTCCGGATCCATGCAGATACGGGGCTGTACCGGGTTGTTTCCTGCCGGGTTGTCCGTAGAGATCATGGCGACGACATCTTGGATGGAGGAAAACTGGTCGTTAGATGTAGTCAAGCTCGTCATGTCCCGTTGAAGTCGTGAGATGGAGGCCTGGAGCTCCTGGAGATTTCCATTGGGCGTCGAAGAGGATTGGGTCCGGGACGTGTTCCGAGTGGACCTGGTCGGCGTCGACGGAGCCACCGGTGTCGTCCGGGGGCCCGATCGGGAACCATCCGTTCGTCTGTCGATGTCCACATCTCGCTCAATCAGGTAGTCCAGGCTGATTTCGATAGTCTCAGGTCGAACAGAGGCTCCCCGGAGGCACGCGGCCACTTCCGCATCGCTACATCCATTGATCATCATAACCACGGCCCTATTGGCCTGCAAACCAGCCTCCCGGGAGGCGTCCGCGATCCGCCACGCACACTCCCGGACGGTTTCCGTAGACTTCGGTGGGAGTTGTCAGTAATCTCGGCCATCTTTCGACTCAGTGTCTTCTGAATGAACTCCTTCCGGAAAGCCTCCCGAGCCTCCACCCAGGAGACGGGTTCGCTGTCACGGCACCGTCGAGCCCACCAGTCCTGGACGGAAAGTACCCCACAGGATGTCTGGCGGTCATCAAAGATTCGAACGACCTGGGTATCGTTGAGCCCGTACTCCTTCTGGATGGTATCAAACTTCGCCAGAAAATATTCCAAAGGGATGGTCCGGTCAACACTATCGAACTTGGGCGCGTACTTCCGAGCATCGGACATAGCCTGACGTCAAGCCGAACGGGGCGTGGGGCTGTCCGGGACCAGTGCCGTCTCCTCCGAGGCCGCCTCCCGGAGGGCCAGGAGGACCACCGTAGTACCCTCCAGATCCTCCACCACCAGGAGGTCCCGGAAGGCCACCTCGGCCACCGAAGGGTCCACCATAATCACCCCCATTCGGTCCACTTCCAGGAGGTGGGGAGGATTCGTTCGACCTGAGTAACCACCCCCGTAGCTGCCCCGGGGCTGTAAACCTCCACCCCCGGGTTCCGGACCATAGGAGGCCTGAGGGGCATGCCTCGACTCGGTTGCACGAGGGGATGACTGCGTGTACCCTGCTCCTAGCTGCTGGCCATTGGCCCCCGAGGACGGGTACGAGTCGGCATCGCGGTTGGGTCGTGACATGGGAGCCGCCGTCGGCACAAACGGTAGCGGCGTGGTGTCCCGGACTGTAAACGTTGGTGGCATCCGGAGCGAAGCTGATTCTGTCAGCACCTCAGTCTGGTGCATAAAACAGGTTTGGTCGAAGGCTCGGCGAGGCGTAGACGTGTTTGAGCGGGTGGCCGGGAGCAAGGGCGCTGTAGTAAACGTAGTATGCGTGATCCCGTTTCCTTTAGACGGAGACCCCATCCGGGACAGAGTCGGGATCCCATATGTTGCGTACGGGGCATTGTTCATTTTCTGAGGCGTCATTTGTTGGAGATCCACAGCTCTTTGTTCCACTTGTAGCTGGACCCGCTGGCGTTCCAACTCCGCATACGCACGGCTCAGGGTGAGGTCCTGGACCGACCGTTCCCTGAACAGGGTAGCTTCTTGATCCCTCAACTGCAATTTCTCCGTTTCCAAACAGGAGCGCGCTTCCTCTACTTGGCGCAACACCTCTTCGTTGGTGTGCCTCTCCCGTTCCAGCTGATCCCTTGTCTCGGGCGAGGGATCTTCTCCGGACTGAGCGCGTTCTTGGGTAAGTGTCATGAACTGCTCCTGGACCAACTGTTCGAGGTCCTGGCGGCGTCCTTGTTCCGAAAGCAGGGTCTGTTCGTACCGATTCTGCTCGGTCAGGATAGACTCCTGGAGCTCCCGGACTGTCTCTTCGCTCTCCCGGAGACACCGATGCTCTTCTTCCAAGACTCGTTCCATCCTTTAGCGTCGCTGTACTTCCTCTCCAGACTATGTTCCCGTTCCCGTAGGGCTTCGCGGAGGTCCCGTTTTTCCTTTTCCAGGATCTGGAAATTTCCACAGGCGACGTTCGCAGACTCCCGGAAAGAGAGGTCGCGGAGGGCGCTCCGGAGGGTCTCCTGTACCGACTCGAGTTCAGAAGCCTTCGACTGGACCTCGTCCCGGGCCGAAGCCATGTCCCGGTCATAGTGGGACTGAAGTGGGTCATAAGCAACCCCCTTTGATGTGTCCTCGTCACGGGCAGCTTCCCGTACTAGTAGGATTTCCTCTCGATGGTTCCGCTTGAGGGTCCGGAGTTCTTCCCGGAGACTGGACATGAGGCCGTCGAGACGCAGATGGTCCTCCCGGCGGCGCACTTCGAGAACGCGTTCCGCATCCTTCTGGACCTGGGACAGGACTTCTTCATGCAGGCGACGGGCCACCAGGAGGTCGGAGTCCATGTCCCGTACCAGGAGGGCTTCACGTTGTTCCCATTTCAGAGCCAGTTGTCCTTGAAGTTCCCGGGTTCGGTCCTCCCAGGAGAGGGCATTCTTTTCCGCTTCCCGGAGCAGAGCCTCGTTCGCTTCGTTGGTTACCTGAGCCCGGGCAACGTCCAGTTCCCGAGTATAGCAGTCCCCGAGGTAGGTCAGGGCCTTCTGGAACTCATCTTGGCGGGTTTCCGCGGCCAGTAGCAATCCTTCGGCCATCTCTACCAACTGGGATTCCTGAACACCCAGTAAACGAGCCCGGTCCTCGTTGGCTTGTTGGAAGAACAGTAGGGACGCCGTTCGTTGTTGCTCTTCAATGCCCCGAGTGAGTTCTTCATAGGCCTTCTGGATCTCCCGTATCCCTCCGGTGGCCACCGTGATCGTGGCTACGATGGTATTTCCTGGTACTCCGGGACCGTTCCAGGTAGGTGTCCCGGTAGGCGTTCCTGATACCGTACCCCCGTACCCCTCTTGGACTAGGGAGGTGTATCCGGGAGCTGGAACAGGTATCGAATAGCGCTCTAAGGTTTCGGCATCGGACTCACGATCGTCGGTACCAGTTCTGGCCAGGGTCAGGGTCGGACCGTCGGTACCGGTTCTGGCCAAGGCACTAAGGCCAGGTCTGCCGCCGATGCCAGCGCCGGTCTCTTCAACGGTGACCGCGTCTCTGGACGGTCGGTCGGGGGCGACACGTCTGGCAACCCGTCAGCTTCCCCCTTCCGTCCTGGAGTCGATACTCATCGTCTTCCAACGGGACCAGACCCGTGGCCAGAGGCTTCTTCCGTAGTAGGCGTTCGCTGTCCAGGAGTCCAAACTCCGGGGCACCTCCCGCCAGACGGCGTGATTGGCGCACCGGCACCGCTGTCGTCGTGGGTTCTTCTGTCGACATCTTTCCTTTCTTCTTCCGCGCTTCCTTTGCAAACACCTACCCTGCTGCTCCACCAGAATGTCGTGGGGTTTTACGACAAATCGAATGGGTAGGTGCGGCGTAGGCAAGCGTGTAAAACACCAAACGCGTAGTTCAGGGCAAAATGTAAAGTCGAGTTAGTTGGTTTAGCTTCAAAGAAAAGAGTATGACTAATGGATAATCCAGGTCCAGGACGTCCGGAGTCTGGTCCGGGAGCCCTATAATATACTCCTCTATTCCATAAAGGTGGA